GCAGAATGGTCAGAGGCTCCAGGGGGCTTGAATCTGGTGCGAAACGCTGAGAGAGAGCGTCCGCCTTGAGGTTCTTGGAGCCGGGCCGGTAGGCGATATGGAAATTGTACGGCTTGAAAAAGAGGGCCCACCGAGCCTGGCGAGGATTGAGTTGACGAGCGGTCTGAAGGTGTATGAGATTCTGGTGGTCGGTCCAGATCAGAAAAGGGTCGGTGGCACCCAAGAGCCACTGCCGCCATTCCTCCAGGGCCCATTTTATCGCCAGCAGTTCTCTGTCGCTGACCCCATAGTTCTGCTGTGTGGGGAGAATTCCGGGAAAAGTAAGCGCAGGGGTGGAGCTTAGAGTCCGGGCCCCGTTGCGAGAGGATGGCCCCCGCTCCCACATCAGAGGCGCCCACCTCCACGACGAAGGGCCGGGTGGAGGAGGATGGGTTCCTTAACAAAGCGCCCGACCAGATCATGGAAGGCGCGGATAGCCTCTGGGGTAAGGCGGAAAGGGCAAGGCTGGTTGGTAGCTTTGGTGAGGGAGGTCAGAGGTGCTGCGAGGGAACTGAAGTTGCGTATGAACCTCCGGTACAAGTTTGAGAAGCCCAGGAAGCTTTGCACCTGTTTCAGGGTCATGGGTAAAGGCCACTGTGCTACTGCCTGAACCTTCTGAGGGTCCATCTTCAGGCCCCGGGAGGAGATGGTAAAGCCCAGGAAGGAGGTGGATTCCTGGTGAAATGCACACTTCTCCAGTTTGCAGTACAGATTGTGGTCCAGGAAGCGGGACAGAATGGTTTGAACATGCAGGATGTGTTCCTCGACTGTGCGAGAGTAGATGAGTATATCATCCAGATATACGAAAACCCAGCGGCCTAACATGCCTCTTAGTACATCCGTGATGAAACGCTGGAAAACGGCGGGGCTATTGCAGAGGCCAAAAGGCATCACCAGGTATTCATAGTGGCCGGTTGATGTGATAAAGGCGGTCTTCCACTCCTCAGGTTATAAGCACTGCGCAGATCCAGTTTGGTGAATAGGGCAGCCTGGGTGATGGTGTCCAGGGCGGTGCTCATGAGAGGAAGAGGGTGACGATCTCGGATCGTTATCTTGTTCAACCCTCGGTAGTCGACATAGGGCCGGAGATCTCCCTCCTTCTTTTTAACAAAAAAAAAAAACCCTGCGGCACCGGGGGATGTTGAGTGGCGGATGAACCCCTTTTGGAGGGCAACGGTTATGTAAGAGTCCATTGCCCGGGTCTCCGTCGGAGAGAGAGAGTACAGGCAACCCCGGGGCGGGGTGGTGCCAGGCTGCAGCCTGATCTCCAGGTCATAGGGCCGATGAGGAGGTAGCCTGGTAGTGGGTTCCTCAGTGAAGACCTGAGTTAAGTTGTGGTATTGAGGAGGAACGAGCGTCAGGTCTACGTCCTTGGGGGGAGATGCTCCAGTCTGAGGTGTAGGGGAGCCACAGTGGTTCTGGCAACCCGCGCCCCAGGCCAGGACCTTACTGGTGGACCAGGAGATGTGAGGCTCATGGCGGCAGAACCAAGAATGGCCCAGGATGAGAGGAGTAGCCGGGGCCTGGATGACCAGGAAGTGAAGGGTCTCCAGGTGTTGGTTAATGGTCATGTGGAGGTCCTGGGTTCGGTGGGTGAGAGGGTACGGCATGAGTGGGCGGCCGTCCACAGAGGTAACAGGAATGGGTCGGTCGAAAGCGGTAAGGGGTATCTTGAGCTGGGTGGCCAGTCCCTGGTCGATAAAACATTCAGGGGCGCCGGTGTCTAGAAGAGCCTCCAGTCTGGTCGGGCCTTGGTCCAGTAGGAGGGAGATCGGGAGAGTGGTGCGGTGTGGGACCGGAAAAGTGAAGACTCCGGGCGGGACAGCCCCTACTCCGACCCGGAGGGACCGTTTCCCAATCGTCTCGGACACGTGCCACGGTGGTGACCCAAATCCCCACAGTAGGCGCATCGTCCCTCCTGATAGCGCCGCGCCCGTTCCTCACGGGGGAGATGTCCGAGCTGCTTGGGTTCCTCCGTCGGTTGGTGGGCCTGATGACGGGGTGACGTTCTGGTGTGGACGGGAGCCGACATGGCGCTCGGTCTGTTCAGGATACAGCGGTCCAACTGGAGGGCCAGGTCCACCGCCAGGTCCAGGGAGGTTAGGGCCTCATGTCCAATCATGCCCTTTCAGATTCGGGGGGACAACCCCTCCAGGTAAATGGCCTTCAAAGCGGCGTCATCCCACGCCAACCGAGCGGCTGTAGTCCGGAAGCGGGAGGTGTAATGAGCCACCGTCTGGGAGCCCTGACGAAGTTGAAGCAGCCGGGTCTCATCTGCGACCTTGCTGCTGGGATGAACAAACGTCTTCTTCATCTCCTTCACAAAAGTCTCATAGTCATTGCAGACAGGAGATTTCAGATTGTAAAGAGCCACCGCCCATTCACCGGCTCGACCCGTCAGCAGGGAGGTCAGCAGGGCGACGCAAGAACAGGACGTGGGGTAGCGCGCCGGCTGGCGCTCAAAAGTCATTGCTAGGGTCGCCAGCATGCCTTCCGGGGACCCTCTGGTCCCATCCCACTTCTCTGGAAGGCTGACACGTGGTTCCATCTTGTCGGTGATGGTTGCGGTCTGTCGTTGCAGGGTAGTGGAAAGCTGGACAACTAGCTTGATGAGAAACTCGAGCTTCGTGGCTTGGCGATCTGCTACGGCATGAAGCTGGTTCATTTCTGCCATCTGTCGATCCACAGTTGTGCGTAGTTGAGCCACTTCTGCACGCAGGTGAGTGAACTCTGCTGGGTCAACTTTAGACTCAGTCATCCTGTCAGGTTTTAGCGGCTGAGCTGAAGCGTAGCGGAGATTGTTTGTGGCGTAACTGTGTGACCCAGACGCGGAGTGGCTAGCGTTGGGTTAGACAGAGCACGCGGCTTTATTCTAGGAACGGCGACGCAGCGCTCGGAGAGAGCCGAGACTGAGCAGCAGTTCCGGATGGATAAGGAAGCTGACTTACTAGTAGTAGACAGCGTGGGAAGATCCTTCCCCTCGGTTGAGGGCTGGTAAGCCTAAGAACTTGATTCAATGTCTGTAGGAATAATGACTGAGTGATGACTGAGCGGCGGTGCTTCCGTAAATAGTGTCGGCGTGATGACGTCGGCAAGCCACGTTGGTGGCGGGAATGCTGGGAAGTGTAGTTAGCAGGAGGAGTTCGTGACAATGACATTTCAGACATTTTGACAGATCCTCAAATACTCTACCCCAAAATTCCTGGACAGGTGGACAGGACCACAGTGTGTGAATGTAATCGTCAGGAATGTTGTTTGTGCAGTGTGTACATGTGTCAGACGACACAAACCCCATCTTGAACATCCAATGACCTGTATAGTGTACTCTGTGTAGAATTTTGTACTGAATTAAATGTAAATTGGGGTGTCTGATCATTTTAAAAGTTTTTAAACAAGTTTGGGACCAGAAGTTCTGGTCAGATCTAACTGATAGATCCGCCTCCCATTTTTCAATAGGGATTGCAATTTTATCTTCTATTTTGGACAGTGTCTTATATACTTTAGACAGTAGTTTGGGGGGTTTGAGATTATAGAAGTCAAATACCCTTGGTGTTGTTTGTAATTCTATTTTATTGAGCTTAAATTTTTGTTTGACTACAGATTTAATTTGGTGATATTCTAAAAAGCTATTCTTATCCATTCCAAATTGGGAGACTATTCGATTAGATGGGATGAAGTCCAATCCTTCATATATGTGTTCCAGGTATAGGATTCCTTTATTTTTCCAGTCCGGAAGGTTCATCATTTGGTTATTTTGCAAAATGTCAGGATTATTCCAGATAGGTGTGCGTCTGCATGGTACTAGTGAAGACTCTGTCATTTTTAGATACTCCCACCATGCTGTCAGAGAGGTGCTGATACTAATACTTTTGAAGCCTTCGTGTTTTCTTATGCTTGAGCTAATAAATGGTAAGTCTGAAAGTTCTATCGTATTGCAAAGTATCTGTTCTATATCTAACCAGGACTCATCTAGTGGGTTATCTTGCAACCATCTTGGTATATATTGCAGCCTGTTGGCTAAGAAATAATAATAAAAGTTGGGTAAGTCCAGTCCTCCTCTGTCTTTGGTCTTCTGAAGTGTTTTAAAGCTAATTCGTGGAGGTTTATCCTGCCAAAGGAATTTAGTAATTGAGGAGTCCAGAGATTTAAACCAGTCAGCTGGTGGTTTGTTTGGGATCATCGAGAATAAGTAATTTATTCTGGGTAAGACCATCTTTTTAATTGTAGCAACCCTCCCCATGAGTGATATCGGTAAGGATTTCCATCTTGCAAGATCATCTTTCACTTTCTTTAAAAGTGGGATGTAGTTCAGTTTGGTTAGATCTGCCAGCTTGGGAGAGACATTAATTCCCCGGTATGTAATATTCCCTGACTCCAATTGTGTATTAAGCAAATTGACAAAAGAGAAATTAATTGGTAGAACTATGGATTTTAACCAGTTTATAGAGTAATCTGAAACTCTTGAAAAAGAGTTTATCAGTTCTATTGAATGGGAGAGAGAGGATTGAGAATTCTGGAGAAAGAGTAAAACATCATCTGCATAAAGACTGATCTTATGTTCTATTTTCTTACACTCTCTATTCTGTTGTTTGATTCTTACAAGTCACAAGTAGTTTTATATTCCTTCATAAAAAGTCAGCAATAAATATTTATTTCCTGATTTTTCAACCACTTGCTAGAGCAAATTATCCCTGATCAGCTTGAATATGCTACATTTCTGCAGAAAATAAAAATGGAGATGTTGGAATATTTTACTTTACAATTTTCAGTATTAACTAATGTTAGCTTATGGTAACTTACACTAAAATATATCCTTAATAAATGAAAGATGAGTACGAGACAGATTTTATGACACGAAGTGGTTTAATGTTCTTGTTGTAGTTCTTCCTATGACCACCGGAAGGCAGTAAGCGCCATGACCTCCTCTACTTCACTCTGTTCTTCTGCTGTTTCCATGTGACGTATTTCCGTTTTTCCCATTGCGTGTTGCAAGCTAAGCTAATAAACGCAAAAATGTGTTGAATTTGTTGACAAATAGAGCCGTAAATACATTAATATCCATGGCTATGGGCTGCCGACTGTTTCCGTTAAGTGCTCTTACAGAAAACTCTTAGATAAATGACGACGTAACTCTCAGTTTTTTTACTTTCAGGCGGATATTTTCATCCCAATAACGTTGCATGAGCGATTTTAAAAAGCGGTAAGTGAATCTAGTGTTTTATTTGTGAGAAACCGTTTTTATAATAAAGTTTTTCATAACAAAAGTCTTTATGAAACCAAAATAACACAGTGGCTGCTCAAATGAAAGGGTCAACTCGACTACTGGATAAATTAGGGAAAGATTGACTGGATAATCAAAACAAAGTAAACGTTTCATAATAGCTTTACGTAAATGGAGTTCAGGTTGGACAAGTACAACTTTGATTTTATTCATTGATCCAGATGTAAGAAAAACTTCTAAACAATTATTTAATACAAGTTGGGAGATTCAAGCTTTCTCAAAAATATCCTAAAAGCTGATCTTCTTTAGAAATCAGCTATAGGTGGTGATCAGAAACACATTCAGCTGAAGCGCTGATAATAAAAAAGGACAACTGGACATTTTCCCCTGTGCATGAACTCACCATCACTAATTCACTCCAGCTATGATTTCCTAAACTTGCACGTTTTTGCCTCCAGAATCATAATTCTGAAGTTATTAAAATAAATTATTAAAATGTTTTAGATTTATCGCACAGTGAGGGCAGGTCAGAGCTGAACAAAAATCAGACTTGGGTATCGACCCCAAAAGCAGAATCAGTGTAAACGTTTATCACGAAAAGATAAAAAAGAAAACAAACCTTTAAAGCTAAAATCACCCATTTAAATGTGTCTTTGCCCTTGTCTAGCAAGTTTATACTGACTCAGACTTGATACTGATGCCACCACAAAAACACAGAAACTCACATTTTTATGCGTTACTCTTATTTCAAAGCTGGAATCTTTGCAATGTATTATTGTTAAATGTAAAATAAGATCAGACACATAAACAATAACATAAGAGCAGCCAGCTGCTTCATTCGCTAACATCAGAATTAACTAATCAACTGTGTTGGTGCTGAGGTTCAGAATCGTTATTAATATTGATTATTTTAGTAAATATTATAATTTCATATCAGCTTTGTTACAAGTAAATTTAGTCATTTTTAAAGTTTTACAGAATCTGAGATTTTATTTGGTTTTAAATCTTCTGTCCTTCCTTCTTTCTTTAAATCTGTTCTTGGTTTGATGTAGTTTGACAGATTTGACCTTTGCCCTTGATCGATGTTAGAAAAGATGTGATGATGGTTTTGGTCGTGATGAATTCCTATTTTTCTCTCTGGTCATCTTAAAATCACATCAGCACCTCTCATATGTTTTAGCATGCGGGTCATTGTGATCTAAACCAGGTGCTGCCATGAAGGGCAGAGAGGGTTCATAAGATCTACGTTCAAATTCTGTCATAAATAATAAAAGTCTGATTTATTTAGGTCATTTTTACTCACACTCTAAACATTTGCACCACTTCACCTGAATTAAAGCCACCTGCTCCTCCCTCGGCAGGCGCCATGGCAAATTTGGAGCAGTGGGTGAACGACCGGCTGCATGACATCCTGGGGTTGAGCGATCGATACGTCCCTCAGTTCATGATCGGCCTTGCTCGGAAAGCGTCAAGCTCTGAGGACTTTGTGAGTCGCCTGGAGCAGACGGGGACCATCGACATCGATCAGACTGTGACAGCGTTCGCGAAGGAGCTTTATGAAAAGGTTTTTATAAAATAGTGCTCGCGGAACCTCGTGTAGAGGCTCGTGTGCTGATCTTTCTCTGCTGTGTTCCAGATTCCCCGTCAGCAGGCTGTCGAGAAGCCGTCCAAGGCAATAGAGCGACAGGCTATCGAAATGGAGAGGAAGAATCGGACGTACACGTTGTTGGAGGACAGTGACAGCGAGAGCGACGAAGTGGCTGCAAGGGAAAAACAGAAAGGAAAGAAGAAAAGTAAAGAGAAAGACAGAGGAAACCAGAAAAGGAACATCAGACAGAAGAAAGACTCGTCGAGTGAAGATGAAACTCTTCAAAGGTTATTTATTTGTTTATTTAGGCTGAGCAAAAACAAAGATAGTCAAGGCAACAAGGCTGGACTGAAAACGGGAGAAAAATCAGCCAAAGAGTAAAGAAAACATTTAAAAAGGTCGAAGAGCAGCTGATCCAGAACCACAGAACATTCTTCATCTCTACGATGTTTTAAATGAGGATCCAAGCTCAGGAACATGAACCTTCATCCTGGTTTGTTGTTTCTGATTTCAGGGGCGATTCTTTCCAGGAGGACCGAACGTCTGTTAAAAGAGAAGATGATGAGGAAGAGGAGTGGGAGAAGGAGGAGAGGGTACGGCTGGAGGACATCAAGGAGAGAGACGCATTTGCTCAGAGGGTGAAAGAGAAGGACAAAGAAAAGACCCGAAACATCGCCGAGCGGACGGACAAGAAGGTGGGAGGAGGAGGATGGCAGCATCCCGACCCGTTGTTTTATTTGTCATCTTCATCCGGTGGAAAATTTTCCTGCTGTGTTTCTCCTGCAGGCTTACGAAGAAGCTCAGAAGCGTCTGAAGATGGCTGAAGATGGTCAGAAGAACATGGTTGGTGCTCGTGTCCCGATCTCCTCCAGCTGCCGAGTTCACGGTGACTGTGTGACTTTTCTGCTTGCAGCTGCCAGAGTTGAGGAAACAATCTCGTCGGGAATATTTGAAGAAGAGGGAGGCTGAGAAGCTGGAAGACCTGGAGGCTGAGATCCGAGACGAGGAGTACCTATTCTCCGCGGATGAACGGACTGAGAGGGAGAAGAAGGATCTGGAACACAAACGCACCGTCTGGGAGTTGGCTAAAGATTACAAGAAGGCCGGTGCCAAGGAGCAGGAGGAGAGGAAGAACAGATACTACATGCCAAAGGAAGTTAGGAGGAAGGTAAGAACGAGGAGTGTACTGGGACAACGGGAAAAAACCAAACTGATTCCAGTTAAATGACCTCCTCCCGCTTGTGTCTGCTGAGCAGGAAGTTCCTCAGAAGGAGCTGGAGCTGGAGGAAACTCCGATGGAGCTGGGAGGAGAGCAGGGCCTCTGGGAGGAGGAGAGAATGAAGACAGCTACCCTCAGCTTCGGAGCCAAGAGAGACCGAGAACAGGGCATGAAGCAGGAGCAGGAGAGGTACCAGCTGGTCCTGGAGGAGGAGGAGATGATCGACTTCGTCAGCACAGCCATCACCATGAAGGGAACTCGGACCGAACAGGTGCGGGTGACTCAGCACCAACCTTTAGTTGTATGTGGCTCCGTTTGACTCTGATGTCGTCTTTGACCCAGAATGAGGCAAAGTAGTCGTCATAAACCCACAATCGGTTTAAAACGGCCTTTTTTCTTGAGGTTGTTTCATTAAAACGTTAAACTGTGAACTTTACCACGACACTTGGTCTGGGGACACTTCATTAGTAGAATCTCATAAACGTCCACTGTTTCTGGGCTGCAGCTGGCAGGAATCTGATTAGTTGAGACTTATTTTTGTCACTAGAGACTTGAGACGTGTCTTGGACACGGAGAAGGGACTTGTGGATGTCTCTGATCTTGGGTTTTTCCACCAGAGGGCAGAAGACCTGAAGATCTAAAAACACGTGTGTCAGGAAGTGGCTGTTCAGTTAAAGTCCCATTAGTCGTCACACACTGGTGAATTTACATCTCTGCATTTGACTGGTCCCTGTGGGGCGCGGTGAGATGCAGCGGTGGCTGCCCATGGGAACTATTTGGTGATTTACGGTTCTTGTTTAAGCCCCACCCCCCTTTATTGAAACACATGAAGTGTTTTCCCTTAAGTGAAAACTGGGATCAAGGCACCTGCCCCGTGATGTCATGCTGATTGCGTTCAGGTGGGAATTCCCGACCCACATCCCATCTGGTTCCACAAACACAGCCCCGGTAGGTCTGCCTCGGCTCTGCTGGATGCAGAATGAAAACAGACTTCATTTAGGTTTTATTGGACTCTAAACACAAAAATCTGTTTTGGCATCAGATGAGATCAAAACATGATGCCATTTCCTGTTTCTGTTTGCTGTTTCTCTCTCAGGGACACGTCTCTGAGGGTTTTTATTTTTAATCCAGCCACTTTAGTGCTTCACGCGTTCTGATGGTAAAGCTGAGCAGAAAACCAACATGTTTGTGTCTTTGTGGCAGAAACCTCTTATTTCTCAGAGCCAGATCAAATATAAACAGCAGGAAAACACAAAGTTCTGCACGTTTATGTGCACGTTTTATTTCAAAGCCACCATCATTTGATTGAATGAACTGAAAAATGAATATCTGGTCCGGTTGGCTGAGCCGTCCTTTCAAAGACTCGGCAGGAACACTTCCTGGATGGTTTGTGCTGTGTTCAGGATCAGGACGCGCCGGAGCTGTCTCAGGCGGAGCTGAAGAAGCGGTCCATCCAGGAGGTGCGGCGCAGCCTCCCCATCTTCCCCTACAGAGACGACCTGCTGGCTGCCATCCATGAGCACCAGGTCCTGGTTATCGAGGGGGAGACGGGCTCCGGAAAGACCACCCAGATCCCTCAGTACCTGCTGGAGGACGTGAGTGCTAAGATGTGTTCTGCTGAATAAAATGGACTTAAAATCGAGTCAAATAAAATGTTTTACTGACTAAAAACAATTTTAAGGATGTTTCCGCTCTCATTGGACATTTTACACATCATGTTTAAAATTTTCAGCTTTATTAATTAAAGAATTCTTTTTTGGGAGATAGTTCACGGCTACTAAATAGTCAGTGCTGCTAGCTTACCGTTAGCTTTACCCCAGCGTCTTTAAATAGAAACTTAACATACATCAACAAACATAATCAACATATTGATGACTTTCAAGGTTCTGTTTGTCCCACCTGGAGATGGGCAGATAGACCTGCAGCCATCCGTCAGACCCGATAACGTACCGTATTCCCGTTTCTCAGGGCTACACCAAAGGAGGGATGAAGATTGGCTGCACTCAGCCTCGGAGGGTGGCGGCCATGTCAGTGGCAGCCAGAGTGGCAGAGGAGATGAGTGTGAAGCTCGGTAATGAGGTGAGTTTGCTGTGATGAAGATGTCCCCGCGTCTGATTTACTGTTTTAATCTGGAGCTTGTTGTCCTCGCCCAGGTGGGCTACAGCATCCGCTTTGAGGACTGCACGTCGGAGCGGACGGTGCTGAAGTACATGACCGACGGCATGCTGCTCCGAGAGTTTCTCACAGAACCCGACCTGGCCAGCTACAGGTATTACAGGCCATTTAAAACCCTGACCTCTGACCCTAGATTAAGGGACTACACAGTGCATGGTGGAGCAGCTGGTCCCATCAAGAGGTTGCTGGATTAACCCTCCCACTGTCCTAATGGGTGTGACCCCGCGAGGAAAGTTGACCATTGAGCAGGATCGATGGATTATCCCTTGAGGTCCACGTGGCAGGGGTGAGGTGGTGCTCACTCCTCACCCCTGCCACATGGACCCAATGAATAAACCATCAACCCTGCTCAATGGTCAACTTTCCTTGCAGGGTCACACCCATTAGGACAGTGGGAGGGTTAAATCCAAGCTGCAGCCGTACTTTGTGGAGCTGGGATCTTTGCTTCTGCTAAATAAGGAACATAAACATAAAATGTGCTCTGTAAGTGTTGACTTGTTAGCTAAATGATGTATTTGGACCTAAACAAGCGGAGCACATCAGCATCACAAACCATAATAGGCAAGGCAAGGCACCTTTATTTATATAGCACATTTCAAACACAGGGGCAATTCAATGTGTTTTACAATTATCATTAAATGGCACAGCAACAACAAACAGGAGAAGACAAATAACATAATTTAGAGCTAAAAGGAACAGACAGAATTAAGGTTGAGCAATTACATCACAGATTACAGTGGAGACGATGCAGCATAACAAACAAGTCATTCAAAGGCTGATGAGTACATGAGGGTTTTCAGTTTTGACGTAAACAACACTAGAGTTGGGGCAGATCTGAGGTCATGGGGGAGCTGATTCCATATGTGAGCAGCATAGTAGCTAAAAGCATCTTCATCCTGTCTGGTTCTGACCCGAGGTTCTACCAGCTGATTGTTTCCTTAGGATCTCAGAGCCCTATTGGGTGTATATACAGGAATGAGATCTGACATGTATTTTGGTCCCATGCCATTGAGTGATTTATTAACTAGTAGGAGCACTTTGAAATCTATTCTGTAGTTTACTGGTAACCAGTGTAGGGATCTAAGAACAGGAGTGATGTGCTCTGTTCTCTTGGTTCTTGTTAAGACTCTAGCAGCAGCATTCTGAACAAGCTGCAGTTGCTTCACAGCTTTTTTGGGAAGACCACTTAGGAGACCATTGCAATAGTCCAGCCGACTAGAAATAAAAGCATGAATAAGTTTCTCTAAGTCTGGTCTGGACATGAGACCTCTTGGTAGTTGATGAAGGTGATAAAACGCTGATTTAGGCAAAGACTGAACCGGTTAGTCCCACACAATTTGCGAGCCTGTCGAGGAGTACGTTGTGGTTCACTGTGTCAAAGGCTGCACTGAGGTCGAGCATCATCAGGACAGATGCTTTACCTGTGTCAGTGTTGAGACGAATGTAATTTAATACCTTGATCAGTGCAGTCTCAGTACTGTGGTGCTGTCTAAAACCTGACTGAAAACCATCCATAATATTACTTGACTCCAGAAAATTTTTTATTTGGATCATTGCTCCTTTTACATAATTTTCCCGATCAGAGGGAGATTAGACATCAGTCGGTAGTTGCTCATCACTGAGGGATCTAGTTTCCTCTTCTTTAGAAGGGGTTTAACAGCAGCAGTTTTCAGTGGTTTAAGAAAAATTCTTGACATTAAAGAGCAGTTAACAAGAGGTTAATGAATCCCAGTCTTCAAGTCCCATCATCATCAATCTGGTCTGAATTTTCAGGTCAAACAGGAGAAGTGAACAAAGGTTCGTTTCTCAGATCGTCTCATGACAACTTCAGGTTTTTACTCTGATTACAAGCTGAAGCTAACAAAACAGCCGCCTCAGCATAAATTAGCCTCCAGCCCAAGTTTAGATTAGACATGGACCGATACCGCTGCCTGCATCAGGTCGGATGTCATCTTTTCTCTTCTGAAAAACGCCCCTGTCAGGTGCAGCAGAGCAGCGATCTCATCCAGGTGGAGGTAGGTCAAAGGGTGAAGTACCAGGTTGCTGACTGAAGATTTAATGATCAGAGATTAAACCAGATGTCAAGTCCAGATGTATTTATAAAGCACATTTAAATGGCAGCATCCGTTGCCCCAAAGTGCTGCACATAGGCAGTAAAAGTAAAGCATTAAAATTAAAAAGAGCCAACAGAAACATTAGAAGAGAATAAAATCACAGACTTTTAAGACAAAATACATAAAAAAAAAAGAATAAAACCGATCACATATAAAAAGAGTAAGAAAAGCCTGTGGCCTGTTGATTAGCACTGAAATGCCAAAGCATACTAATGTGTTTTCAAACATACTTTAAAAGAGGCGGTGGTATCAGCTGTCCTAACCCCTAGGGGCAAGCTGTTCCACAGGCCAGCAGCCATCACAGGTAAGGCTCTAGCACCCCTGGTTTTTAACCATTATCTGCAGATGGAGGTCAGCTGATCTCAGCGTCCTAGATGGGACATATGGCTGAATAGGTCCGCAGAGATATGGGAGAGCCAACCCTTGTAGACATTTAAAAACCAACAGCATTATCTTAAAATCACTCCCGAACTTAACAGGAAGCCAGTGAAGACCAGCCAGAATAGGAGTGATGTGATCATACTTTCTTGTCCCTGTAAGAAGGCGAGCTGCTGCGTTCTCGACATAATGTGAATAAAGTTGCAAATAAATGATAAATGACCCGCACTTGTATAGCGCCTCTCAGAGTATGGACTCCAAAGCGCTTTACACTACAGTGTATCATTCATCCATTCACACACTGATGGTGATGAGCCACGATGTAGCCACAGCTGCCCTGGGGCGCACTGACAGAGGCGAGGCTGCCGAGCGCAGGCGCCACCGGTCCCTCCGACCACCATCAGCAGGCAAGGTGGGTTAAGTGTCTTGCCCAAGGACACAACAGCAGAATTCTCTGTCCGGAGCCGGGATCGAACCTGCAACCTTCCGATTACTGGACAACCCGCTCAACCTGTTGAGCTACTGCTGCCCCAATAGGTCAGGAAGAACATAGACCTTAATCCTACTAAGTAACCTCAGTTGGAAAAAGCTGCCAAGGTGAGAACTGAGTCAAAAACAACCCCAAGTTCCTAACTGAGACGACAGTAGGAGGAAAGATCTCCACGGCTGCTTTTTGACGGTGATCTCAGTCCTCTGGGTCAGTCTGGGAAAGTGTGTCAAACCATGCCTGCTCATCTTTAAGAACGAACACGAGCAAATGCTATGTTCAACGGGACAAATTCTAATCCCGGACTCTGTCCCCACAGCGTGGTCATCATAGACGAGGCCCACGAGCGGACACTCCACACGGATATCCTGTTTGGGCTGATTAAAGACATCGCCCGGTTCCGACCAGACCTGAAGGTTCTGGTGGCGAGTGCCACTCTGGACACAGAACGTTTCTCCTGCTTCTTTGATGATGCTCCAGTTTTCCGGATCCCTGGAAGAAGGTTTCCTGTGGATATCTTCTACACTAAGGTGAGTTTTCTCCAGCTGTGAAGAGCGAAGGACGAAGACGTTGATGATGAGACGTTTGTGTGTTTGGCTGTGAAGGCTCCTGAGGCCGACTACCTGGACGCCTGTGTGGTATCGGTCCTGCAGATCCACGTCACTCAGCCGCCTGGAGACATCCTGGTTTTCCTCACAGGACAGGTACAGTTACCCCGAGCAGGAGAGCTCCTGATCCAGATTCTCTGATTTATTAAAAAAACAGCAGACACACAAGTGAGAAACTAACTTTAGAGCAGATCAGAGGCTAGAGACAGGACTAGGTGCTTGATGTTCTGATCTTTTGTTAGAGCGACCCTAAGGAGATGACCCAAAGCAGATGAATAAAGGTGTTTTTGTGTCTCTGCCTCCTGCAGGAGGAGATCGAAGCGTGCTGCGAGATGCTGCAGGAGAGGTGCCGGCGGCTCGGCTCTAAGATCGCCGAGCTGCTTGTGCTCCCCATCTACGCCAACCTGCCCTCCGACATGCAGGCCAAAATCTTCACTCCCACTCCTCCCGGAGCGCGTAAGGTAAGTCCGGCCCCTGGAAGCCGGTATTGTTTGCTAACAATGTGGCGGCGGAGAGAGAAAATCCCTAGAGCTCTAAGGTTTCTTCCGGGCTGCCGCTGAAGAAGTGTAACCAGAAATTCCTTTGAAAAACAGCCGGCTGCGTTCAGAATCTGATATTAATGTTTTCAATTGGTGTCTGACTTACTGACAGAACCGCCCCGGTTCTGGTAAGCCGCTTCTCCGGTAAGGTCCTGTAGATCCTGTAAATCAGTGCTCCTTCCTCCCTGTAACAGGAAGTCTGGAAGGCTTCTGGACCAAACATTCTGAAAAGAAGCAACTTTGTTTTTGGTTTCTTAAATCCAAGTTTATTGAAAATTTAAAGAAAAACATGATTGTGTCTAAATAATACGACCCAGTCCCATACCTGACCCGTGGGACTGTCCATACCATGACAACAACACAGGGATTAGCCCAGAGTTGTTGATAAGGAAAGTCGGGATCCAGGAAACGTTCCCACATCCCATAAATCTTCTCACCCTAGAGGTGCTCGCTGATTAGCGGGTCGTTGGAGACTCAAACGAGGTTGTTGTTGTTCTAATGGAGCGAAAGAGCAACCAGAGGCTTTGTCGGGATGTTTAGGGACTGGGGACAAGGTCTGATGATCCACCTGAGACCTGGACATATCTTCTCCACCAGCACCAAACCCTTGAAACCCTTTAGCTTTTTTCATATTCAGACACTCAGAAGTAGAAATATAATCCTAAACTCTGTAGCTGACAGTTGAGTCAGCCGCAGGCCGAACTCACGCCAGATTAAGGCATAAAAACAGTTGTAGAACATTCATGTTTGCTGTCGAGACAGAAGAAAAGCAGGTGAAATAACAGTGAATCACCAGAAGATGCAGAAAAACTCACCTTGAAGGTTTGAATCTGAAATAGGAAAAGGTGTTAGAACATTTCCTTGTTTTTTTATAACCTGAGCTAATTCTCTTCTAATAGAATCCAATGAGACTGTTTTTATTTGGGATCAGTATTCAGGGTTCTTGTGGATATAATGGATAAAATGTGGTGTCGGTTTCACAAGGAAGAGAAATGATGCTTTTGTGTATTTCAGTAAATCAGCAACAGCATCTCGTCCTGGTAAATTTTAAAAAACCGCCTTAAAAGTTCTTAGAAAGGTCTTGAATTTCCTTTGGGAAAAGCTATTAAGCTCTGCATATCGGATTAGTGGGATCACAGTAAAAACACCTTTACCCATAATGCAGTTCTCTTGCAGTACCAGGTTGTTAATATAAAATACAGCCAGTGATGTCAATATCACGGGAGTACAATAGGAGACTCGTGGGCTGTTTGTGGCTTGGTTTCGTAAGGGACTTTGGTACATTTACTCAACATAATCCATAGCTCTACAGTGCCTCTGAAGCATAGACAACATATACGTAGACACCCTGTGGACTGGCGCTACCTATTGGAACGGGTGTAGCAGTGGGCTACCATCTTGGATGGGTCCCCATTCACTCCCAGTGCATTCATTTCTACTGAGGAAGGTGCTTACCCAACTAAAAAACACATTTGATCAAGCTTTTTCACAAAGTCTGACATGTGGTATGGCATGATAATTAAAATGTAAATCTAATTAAACAAAATAAATAAACATAAATTAAAATATAAAATCCCAACAGGTAGGCTAGAAAAGTCAATAGTATTCCCACATGATCTGTTTTCAATAGCACACCAGTTGTTGCAAACATAGGCTGCACAAATAACAGAATAGTAGCTCACTTTGCACAGAGTCCAGTCGGGTTTGGAGAGTCAGGAACCCATCCAATATGGCAGTGAAGCTGTTAAGCTCTCTAGCGCCCAATGGGGTGTCTATAGTCATGTTTAAGGTACCTGATGGTTCACCTCCACGTTAACGTAAAGGATCAACAGTGTCTCTCTGAAATACTATCATTTCTGTTTTTAGACACTTTTCTTTACCAGCAGCATCAGACGTGTCACTTCCTGTTCCTGTTGTTCACTTCCTGTTTCTGTTGTGTGGTCTCCTGTTTCTGTTGTGTGGTCTCCAGGTGGTGGTGGCCACCAACATCGCTGAAACCTCCCTGACCATAGACGGCATCATCTACGTCATCGACCCCGGCTTCTGCAAGCAGAAGAGCTACAACGCTCGCACAGGCATGGAGTCGCTCATCGTCACGCCGTGCTCCCGGGTAAATGCTTCCTCCTGAAGTTTGATCCCTGGGCTGGAAAACCCAATCACTTTACCTTTGGTTAGACACCAAACTCTTTATGGTGATGCTATTAATTATTTAGATAAACTCAGAGGGTTTTAGTTTGGTTGAGGTTGTTCCTGATACTGCTTGAACGTTCCTTTCTTCTTCCTGAGTTTAACCTGCTCTAATGTTCTGAGGTGAAGAATCCTGGATGTGATATTTTTATCTTCATTTTCCCCTTTAGACTCAAACCTCTACTGGTCACAACTCTCGTCCTGTTTTGTTTCTAGAATCTTGATAAAAGACCAAACCAGTAGAAATGAATGACAACCGTCTCATTCTGTTTGTGTTCTGCTGTCAGGCTTCAGCCAATCAGAGAGCAGGGCGAGCAGGCAGAGTGGCTGCTGGGAAATGTTTCCGCCTCTACACGGCGTGGGCCTTTAAACATGAGATGGAGGAAACGACCATTCCTGAGATCCAGAGAACCAACCTGGGGAATGTGGTCTTGCTGTTGAAGAGCTTAGGTTAGCAACATCGGTCGTCTTTAAGGTCGTGACATTCTGTTTTTGCCATCTGCGACTTTCAGCTGATGATTTTACTTCTGCACAGGCATCAACGACCTCATCCACTTTGATTTCATGGACCCTCCCCCTCATGAGACCCTGGTTCTGGCTCTGGAGCAGCTTTATGCTCTGGGGGCCCTGAACCACCTGGGAGAGCTCACAAAGGTTCAGAATCCACTTTGATTAAGAAATATTTGTTTTGACGTGTCGGATTAGAGTCTTGCAGATCATCAGCAAATACGAACCAAGCTAAAATAAAACAAACTCACAAAGATCTTCAGAAAATCTCCACTGATCAGGAGCTGTTGAAAGACCGCAGCAACACTCTTTGGTTTTGTGTTTGAGTTGCTGTGTTTCTGTCATTGTGTGTCTGACGTGTGTTTAAGTCGTTGTGTGTGTTTAGGTTGTAGTGTGTTCTCTGTGCTTGTGATGTTTAGAGCTGCTGAGTCATTGTGCCAAACAGAGAAGATATGACTCAGCATTCATAATGTACCTGTCTGGTTCTGGTGAAAGGGGATTTCCCCCTTATTTCTTCTAATTGTGTGTTTTTTTCCGGTCAGCTGGGTCGCAGGATGGCTGAGCTACCGGTTGATCCGATGCTGAGCAAGATGGTCCTGGCCTCAGAACAGTGAGTCCCACTGCCTCTCATCATGTGATTGTTGTGTTTTCACCTGAAGCATTCCTCTAGAAGAAGAAATGTATAACAAAACAAAAATCTCATATTTATTAAAGTTAAAAGGCTAAAAATTCAAATCCTGCTCTGAGGCAGTCCTGATCCCATCGGCATCATAGGTCACATGTTATTTATTACCCAGTAATAGATATTAGGATGCTAATTAAGCACATCAGCTGGATTTGATCTTGGTTCGTCTGGCAGGTCGGATTCCTGAGATTAAAGCAAGTTTCTGTAGCTGTTTGCTGTTTTAACACAAAACAGGTGCTGCATCTCCCTGTCACAAGACACTGGTTTATCTGGTTCAACTACAATAAAACTGCATTTCTGTGATGATTAGACAGAGGAAAGGAAACCAGCCAGCGTTTTCAGATTTAAAACACACAATGGAAACTATATCACAGATCAGCTGATTTAATCTAGAACTGTGAAATGTGGCGACGTGTCCCACGGGTCTTGTTAGTGAGATGAGCTGAAGCAGCTTCGTAAACTGCAGGAGAAGTTTTACAGCTCTGATTCAACGCGGTTTGTTCTTTAAAACTCTTGTGTGTTTGGATGAAAGTTTATTTTTTAAACTTAGACTTCAGACTGATGGAGCAGTCAGGTTTACGTTAAAGGGATATCTGGGTCATGATTAATCTATCAGGTAGGACCTTACTTGCAGGTGACATTACTCAGAGTGGGCGGAGTCTCTAGAATCACTAAATAGTTAGCGATCTGGATAGTCATGAGTAAATCTGCGGCAAGAGAACTACTTCCTGTATCTAGAACATCTTTTTAATATTGCTGCTTCTGGAAAATGCAGCGTTGACTGACTGTAATCAGCTGATCTGAAACACAGAATTTTCCCTTATTTGGTTTCTGAACACTGGCTGCGTAGTGGTGCGGTGGTTAGAGCTGTTACCTTGCAGCGAAAAGGTCCTGGGTTCGTTTCCCGGCCTGGGGTAATTCTGCATGGAGTTTGCATGTTCTCCCTGTGCATGCGTGGGTTCTCTCCGGGTACTCCGGCTTCCTCCCACAGTCCAAAAACATGACTGTTAGGTTGATTGGTCTGTCTAAATTGTCCTTAGGTGTGTGTGTGTGTGTGTGTGTGTGATTGTTTGTCCTGTGTGTCTCTGTGTTGCCCTGCAATGGACTGGCTCTCTGTCCAGGGTGTACCTTGCCTGATTGCCCACTGACCAACCCCGTGACCCTACGTGGACAAAGCGGGTTCAGACAATGGTTGGATGGATGGTTTTTGAACACACCGTTGCCAGGCAGCAGCAAAAATTCCAACGTTTCCCCCGTGTCTGAACTCACTATCTCTAAATACTGAATCAGCAGTAAAAGCTTTTCCATGTGGAGGTTTTTCTTTTTAAAATCACGTTTTTCAACTTGTTTTTATTTTTATTTTATTGATTCTTGTTTCTGTGAGATATGTCTGGAGCGGCTGGTCGGTATCGGCCCTCAGAACCAGAATCTGTGTGTCCGATTTAAGTTAAGGTGACCCTCGTGTCGGGGGATATTGGAGACCCGCGGGACTAAATCAACCAGCTGGTTGAGTCTCGTTTCTAAAGTGGACTCTGTGTAGGACAAACGAGTGGTGTCAAAGGCTTGTTATTAACCAAGAACAACATGAAAGTTCAACATTCTGATTTATTTATGTCATCACTCCATCTTTTTTGTACAATTATTAAAAAAGCTGGATTCTGTGGCAAATTAACCAGATACAAACTAAATTATTCCAACTACTTGCTGGAAAAGTTCCACTTTAAATGCCAGCCAGACGAGCTAATTAATAAACAAACAGAACCCTCCAGGTCCAGGAGATAGAAAAGTTCTGCTGCGCTCTTGTTCAGGTATAAATGTTCAGAGGAAGTGTTGACCATCGCCGCCATGCTGTCGGTCAACAACTCCATCTTCTACCGACCCAAAGACAAGGTGGTGCATGCCGACAACGCCAGGATGAACTTTGTGGTTCCGGGTGGAGACCACATGGTTCTGCTCAATGTCTACACACAGGTGGGAAGAGGGTGGAGAGGTTCAGTGCTGCTGGCTTTGACCAGATGTTCTAACAGCAGCTGCCGTCTGTTCCTCCCTCAGTGGGTGGAGAGCGGCTACTCCACCCAGTGGTGCTACGAGAACTTCATCCAGTTCCGCTCCATGAGGAGAGCCCGGGATGTCCGGGACCAGCTGGAGGGTCTGATGGACCGAATCGAGGTGGAGATGGTCAGCTGTGATGGAGACAACATCCCCATTCGTAAGGTTAGTTCTGCATCTGAGACATGTTTACAACAGAAGACCTGCAGAAGGTCTGAGGACCTGGACCAACTTAGAGCAGGGACTCCCGAAGTGAGCTGCCGCTAGCGGGAGCGCAATGTGAAAAATGTAATGGTCATAATTACAATAGAAATGTGCAAATAACCATTTCCTTTGTAAAATTTAAAATAATTAGAATTTCTAACCAAAACGCACTTCATCTTAAAACGAGCATTTGAAAAATCTCAAACACCTCAGCCAACTCGCCGAGCATCTACGGACCTACTTCCCACCCACCCACACATCTCCAACCCATTTGGAGTTCCCCTCTCGGTCTGGAAGGAAGTTCATCGGAGAGCTTTGTACCAAGATGCAGGCCCACCCATCGCATTAATTCAGGTGTCCGTCTGGTGACGCTGAGGGGAAAAAAAACCTTGTGGCCACGACGCGTGGGATTGACTTATTAATGCGTGCGATTGACTTAACGCGTGGGATTGACTTAATAACGTGTGGGATTGACTTATTAATGCGTGCGATTGACTTAACGCGTGGGATTGACTTAATAACGTGTGGGATCGACTTATTAATGCGTGCGATTGACTTAACGTGTGGGATTGACTTAATAACTCGTGGGATCGACTTATTAATGCGTGCGATTGACTTAACGCGTGGGATTGACTTAATAACGTGTGGGATCGACTTATTAATGCGTGCGATTGACTTATTAACGCCAAGATTTTAAATGTGTGAGAGGTGTGTTCCAGAGAAGAGCTTTCCTGAAAGGATCTTCTCCCAAAAGCCCCAAATCGTTTCCTTTTAGATAATATTAGGTTTTATCATAAGGTTACTGATATTTCTTTTAAAGAATACTAACCAGTTGTTTTATTTATTCAGTCCAAACTATTCAATAACACAGGTGATCCGTCTTTTGCCACGCGCAACAGCGCACCATTAAAATGTGCAGCAGCTAACGGGCAGCGGCGCACCTGTCGGGTTTTCCTTAAACGTGAGTTCTGACAGAACAGCCGACAGGTGGGCTGAGATTTGTTTGATGTGTAAACATTTCCTGTCTAAAGCCCTTTGGGTTCAATCAGTGAGAACTCAACTGGAGTGTTAGCAGATATTCTTGCAGTTCTCTGTCCTAATCTGGCTGCAGCTCAGCGAGGATTAAACTGTAAATCAGCCATAAGAGTCTGGAGCTGAAACAGCTGAAGTCTCCAGAGGCTGAACACCCAGAAAAAGACAAACAACTCGACTTTTACTTTCACCTTCTACATCAGTTACAGTAAAATGTTCCATTAGGAATTATTTTTCAGTTTTGGTATTAGTAGATATGTCACATGACCTTAAGCTCTGCTTCCTGACCCACAGCGGGGTCAGAACCCCAACTTCAGACCAGCTGTAAACAAAGTGTTTGAATCCAGTAAAACGGATCAAACAGACATAAAATTCCCAATAATTCAGGTGATTTTTCCTTGGATTCATTTTAAAGGGAAATTCACAGATGAATGACAAAATATGAAAAGTTAAACATTAGTGAGTTCTGGAGCAGTTCTCTGAATCAGAACCTGGTGTGAAGGTGAGCAGCAGCACGCCACTTTGATTTAACCAGGATAAGGAGCTCTGAGAAGCTGTAGCATAAAAATACCTGAGAGGGAAAACCTGTCAGTCCTCAGCAGTCACATTCCTGCTGTTATCTGAGAGCACACCTGAGACGTGAGGGGGGCGTGGCCAAAACAGCTCCACCACATGACTGGCGCTCTGTCACATCCACCATTATGCTGCTAGCCGTGTGTGTGTGTGTGTGTGTGTGTGTGTGTGTGTGTGTGTTATTTAGAGTAATCCAAACCCAGTCTTAATTAGTTGTATTTCATCAGATGTTAAGCAGCTAAATTACAGGTTAACTGACACTTAAGGTCCCGCCTCTCTGATTCCCATCATCACACCTAAACTCTGAGCTCTCACACTCACTGCAGCTTTTCTTCTGCTTCCCAGAACCTCCCTGAACAGAATCAGAGCCTTTAAACCTGCTGCTTCACTGTCTAAAGTCAGAAATCTGATCTGCAACTCATCTAAATTAGACTTTAGTCTGTTTGTGTGTAAGGATCTAACAACACCAAACAGGAAACGGGGTTTTAGTTGAGTCTCCACTGAAGGACCAGTTCCCTCTGGTCCAGATCCCTGTGCTGAATCTTGTTGGTTAATTTATACATTAATAAATAAGTACAGACTTTAGTTTCCAGTTTAATAAATAGTTGGTACAGTCTTGCAGCCCTGAGTCTGAAGGTAAATAAGGTTCATCACGCCTGGTATTTGAAGAAAAGCTGGACAGACCGGTTACTGTCCTCTGAGCAGATGCTTCACTTCTACTTATGGCCCGATGACGCGTTCTTTGTACCTGCTGAACGAAAAATCTGCTTCTCCATCTGTTATCAATGTTCTGAAGTTTAGTCCCAGAATTCTGGTTTCGTTTAGTTTTTGTCCAAAATTTTCTCAGCTTCATCAGCTTTTCTAAGTCAGAAGATTTGATGCAGATTTTATTTGGGGAGACTTGCTTGTAATAAAACATTTTTTAATTTCTATTCAAGTTTAATTTTTTGGACTTTTGAACTCTTGAATAGAGATGCACCAATTCTGGGTTTTTTTACGTCTGATACCGATTTCAGAGTTGTGCACAGCTCTGGTCGGCCACTACTGATCTTACCTTAGAGCTATGAATATCAGAATACTTTAGAACATCAGTGTATGAGATCTGTTCCTGCTAGAGTGAAACAACACTCAGAGATGGTGTGTTCACAAACCCCACAAACTCAGAATTTTAGTTTTTAGATGGGCGGATTATTAGCTACTGCTGACCATTTCCTCATTCTGAACACCAGATTATTTTTTGGGGTGGACCTTTACTTCTGGTTGTTTGGATTTTTTTGTTTGAGATTTTAATAAAACCAAACAGTTTGTGCTCCAAAATGTGATTCTGCCTGTAATAAGGACTTATTTTGTCCCTGCCTACTCGTCCTCTTCTCCACAGGCCGTGACGGCGGGGTACTTCTACCACACAGCCAGGCTCAGTAAAGGCGGCTACAAGACGGTGAAGCACCAGCAGACAGTCTACGTCCACCCGAACAGCTCGCTGTTCGAGGAGCAGCCCCGATGGCTCATCTACCACGAGCTGGTCTTCACCACCAAGGAGTTCATGAGACAGGTGCTGCTCGGGTTTGTCTGGATATTCCCTCTGAAAAAGTCCCTCAAATAATCCCGCTGTGTTTACTACACAGACTCCCTAAGAGATTCTCAAATAAAAAAAGGTATAAAATAAAAAGAAATAAAAAGTAAAATAATATTTTATGGTTTAAGAAAGAGTAGATCTTTTGCCAGTTGTTATTATAGCTGAAAGTTCTGGTTATGTTTATGTTATGTTTATGTATTTAGCAGACGCTTTTGTCCAAAGCAACTTACAAGTGATAATCGGCATGTTGCCCTTGAGGCTAACAACAACAATAACAACAACTTGACATCAATCATGGAGAGGAGGGAGCAAGGAGTGAACAGTAGAGGGGGAGGACGGGTGCAGGGAGGGTGCTAGTTAAGAAGATGCTCTCTGAAGAACAGGGTCTTCAGGAGTTTCTTGACAATTGAAAAGGAAGCTCCTGTTCTGGTAGTGCTTGGAAGGTCATTCCACATTTGTGGAACGATGCATGAGAAGAGTCTGGATTGTCCTGAGCGTGGTGTAGGCACTGCTAGCTGACGATCCTGTGATGACCGGAGCGGCCGGGCCGAGACGTAAGCCTTTGCAAGAGGATTCAGGTAGATGGGAGCCGTACCATCTCGGACTTTGTATGCTAGTGTTAGCAATTTGAATTTGATGCGTGCTGCTAGCGGTAGCCAGTGGAGCTCAATGAACAGAGGGGTGACGTGTGCTCTTTTTGCTGATTGAAGACCAGACGTGCCGCTGCGTTCTGGACCATTTGAAGAGGTCTCACAGTACAGGCTGGAAGACCAGTTAGAAGGGCATTGCAGTAATCGAGGCGGAAGATGACAGTAGATTGCACCAGGAGCTGGGTGGCATGTTGTGTTAGGTATGGTCTGATCTTTCGTATGTTATACAGAGCAAAGCAGCATGAACGAGCAACAAAGGCAACATGATATTTAAAGGTCAGGTGTTCATCAATCACAACACCCAGATTTCGAACTGCCTTTGAAGGAGCCAGAGATAGGAAGTCATGGTTAATTACAACTGCATAAGCAATAAGAAATGAGAGATTCTATTGAATATGCAGTGCGGTCCTTTGGTTTCTTCCACACCTTAAAGCAGGGGTATTCAAATCTGGGCCTGGGGGGCCGGTATTCAGCATGTTTTAGTGGTTTCTCTGCTCCAACACACTTGACTCAGTGGTTGAATCACCTGTGCAGCAGCCTGGTAATTACTGGCTAACTGAAACCAGGTGTGTTGAAGCCGAGTTGAAACTAAAATGTACTGGATACCGGCCCTCTAGGACCGGAAATGAATGCAAATGCCTTAAAGCATATGAAGCTCAGACAGGAGATGGCCATAAAATTTGAACATCATGACAAAGTTAATTTCTTTCAGTAATTCCATTCAATTTTATTACTGTACATAATCACACACAGACAGATATATTTTAATGTTTATTTCTTTAATTTTGATGATTATATCTGACAACTTATGAAAATCCTAAATTCAGTATCTCAGAAAATTAGACCATCAGTTGAGACTAATGCAAAAAAAAGGAATTTTTTAACCCTAACCCTGAGGTCCAGTGATCAAAGCCTGCTGGTTGTGCAGCACACCAGGCTTAAGACCAAAGGTGACAGATCATTTGCTGCTGTGGCCCCCAGACTCTGGAAAACTCTCCCCATGAGCCTGAGATCAGTGGACTCAGAGGTCTCCTTTAAAAAGCAGGACTCATTTGTTCAGGCTGGCTTTGATGACCTTCATCACCCTCTGCTTGTTCTGCTCTTTCTACCAATCCCGCCTTTGCCAGGATTCACTGATGACCTCATACTTATTCATTTCTTCTTTCCCTTTTCTTACAATTAAAACATTTTTGTTCTTGTGAAGCGTCTCTGGATTTTTATCTTGAGAGGTGATATATAAAAGATTGTTTTCTTTCTTTTGTGACTCACCCCACATTTTTGAATGGGTTTTGTTACGCAACTCTCTCCAGGGTGCGGTTAGCCTATTGCTTGTCCACATTTCTACCACATCTTGTCCTTCTCCTCTCTGTTAATGTTCTTGGACACAGATCTTGGTGAAGAGCCAGCCTCTTTAGCAACGACCTGTTGTGTCTTGCCCTGCTTGTGAAAGACGTCGATAGTCGTCTTTTGGACAATTGTCAAGTCAGCATTCTTCCCCATGATCGTGTAACCTACAGAACTAGACCGAGAGACCATTTAAAGGCTTGTGCAGGTGTTTTCTGTTAATTAGCTGATTAGTGTGGCACCAGAGATCTTCAATATTGAACCTTTTCATAATGTTCTAATAATCTGAATTTGGGATTGTCATTAGTTGTCAGTTATCATCGAAATGAAAGAAATAAACATCTAAAATATACTAGTCTGTGGGTAATGAATGAATCCAATATACAAGCTTCCCTTTTTGAATGTATTTACTGAAATAAATCAACTTTGTCATGATTTTCTGATTTGATGGCCTGCACCTGTATGAATTATTATGGTAAATGTATTCAGAAGAACTAAACTAAAAGTTTTGACCCTTTTTCTGATTTCTTCTCAGTGGCACAATGACACCATCATATAAATCTGTTATGAAATCATTTCTAATTCAGGTTATTGATGAAGCTCCAGATTGTGACACAAGTCACCTCAAAGCGCTAAAGGTCAGGAGAGGCTTTTAATCACACAGTAAGCATCTTTATTGTGTCCTGAACAGGTTTTAATGAAATTCTCAGTAACTAATTACTGCATAAATGTCAATAACTGATTAACTTTTTGAGTTTACCAGATCAAAGATGGCCGCCACATTTAATCAGCTTTGGAAAACACAAAAACGGTCGTTCCCAGTTTTACAGAGACTCCGTTAAAGTTTCAGGTGTCAGGTGTCAAACTCTGGGTGATGATGGGGTTGGGGTGTCTGAGGCTCTGCGGCAGCGCATAGTGACGTCACCTGTCTGATTTTACAGGTGATCGAGATCGAGAGCGGCTGGCTGCTGGAGGTGGCTCCTCACTACTACAAGAGCAAAGAGCTGGAGGACAGCAGCAGCAAGAAGATGCCCCGTAAGCAGGGCAAAACCAAGGAGGAGCTGGGCTGATCTAACGAGACCGCCACAGCCAGGAGGAAACGGTGCAGACACACTGTGGACAGAGCGAGACGTCTGTAGAGGTGTCTCTGGACGGGTGGGGGGTGTTTATGGCTTATTTAAACCCTCAGAAATATGCAGAGGTTATCTGGAGTGCACTCATGAACAGTTTCAGGGAAGAGGGGCCTCAGGCTGACTGACTGGTTTAATATTAAACCACCTGGGCCACAACAAGAACTCACCTGGTGGTGGGTTCCACTTTCTGTTCCTGGTCCACCCACCACAACTTTGTCCAGCTGCATTTTTGTTGCAAATCCTGAAATCAAAACTTTGGATAATAAAACTTTAATGTTTGATTAGAAAAAGGTGTTTCTACCTGGTTTGTTCTGCTAGGTCATGCTGAGCAGGTGTCAGAGAGGGGGAGAGAGAGGGTTTTCTTTAGAATAACACCACAATTGACAGACTTCAAACACACCCACGCCTGGTTTGGTTAATCTTCTCCGTGTGAGCTTAAACAAGTTGGGATCATGTCTTTAGGATAAGCTACCGAAGGTTTCTGTTAATGTTTAGATAGATCAGTGGCGTTCCCGAAGATCCTCGACCTGTCTTGTGTTTGTGTTTAGACAGGAAACACTCAGCTGATGTTGTTTGGATAGGGAACGCAGCCAGGTGTGGCAGGCATGAGAGGCAGATAGACCCATGTTGATACAGTTCTTTTTCTCTTGTCTCTGTGCAGCTGTGGGACTTTACTGACTGAAACAGTTAAAATATGATACACACACACACACCCCAGTCACATCCATAGACAAATGTTTTACCAGCGCCTGATCTGAAATTGGATCGCTCTCCAAACTTTTTTCCGTTCTTACAGAAACGTCTGCCCGTTGACTGTGATATCAGATTCTCGTCTGAGTTATTTCAGTAAATGTTACAATTATTTGCATTTGTCGCTAACAGAAATGGGAGGGGACAGAAGGAATGGATCGGTGCTGCTGGTCGGACCGGTCTAACGAGAAAAGGGAGGGCAGGAGGTGGCCAGCAGGCAGCTTCTTTGATACAAAAGGAAACCAGGTGTCAGAGGAGCGATAGGAGCAGCAAGGAAGCGCTCACAGCTCCGCTCCAGGTCAAGTAGTTATGAAGCTCTGCGATACAAGCTTTACTGCGCTGGTTCACAACAGGATTACCTAAAGAGTCAGGTCGGTTCTGCCAGCGTGGGCTCATGTTCATCTGCCTCCTCAGGTCTGGGTTACTCTAACTTCTGTTTGCTATTAAACTGCTGCTAACACAACAGTCACTAATATTTGAGGCACATTCAGAGGAAACTTTACTAAACTTAACACAAGTCTTAGAGAAACAAAAAATGTCATTTAAAATGAAGAAAAACTCAATTTAGTATTTAGGAGGATTTGAACTTAGATTTTTATTTTATTTTATCTCTTATCTGATTTGAAAGCAGGAAAGCCTACTTAGCAAACAGGACCACCCATTTTTGTCAGAATCATCACTTAACTCCATATTTATCAGCTCGGTGGATTAACACTTGATTTCCCACAGCTGCTGTTTAAAGTCAAGTCGGATTTCTGCCAGAACCTCCATCATCTGGCACCATGAGCAGCTACGGGGAGGGAAATGGAGACGAGGGGAACCAAGAACCCAGACTGCCACAGAACGTCAAACCCAAACCCTACCAGAACGATCAGAACTGCAAGGAGGATCAGAACCGTAAGGAAGACCTCATGAAGAAGGACAAACCACAGAAAGCGCGGCGGTCCAGGAGTACTGACTCTGAGAGATCAAGCAGAGGGAGGAGAAGGGAACGTGAATGGCGCCACTGGGAGAGGCCTCAGCGCGGCAGGAGCGAGGAGCCCCGGAGACGGGACAGGATGGAAGGAGACCGGAAGCAGGACCAACCTGATGAGGACGTTGTTGAGGACACAGAGTGCAATGTGTGCTTCTGCTCTTATGACAATGTCTTCAAGACCCCCAAGCTGCTGGCGTGTGGACACACCTTCTGCCTGGAGTGCCTGGCTCGCATCAATGTGACATCTCAGGAGATCAAGTCCCTGACCTGTCCCATGTGCCGCGAGGTGACGGAGCTGCCCCATGGTCGGGACCTGCCCCGCCTGGGCAACAACCAGGACATCATCAGCAGGCTGCCAGCGGAGATGCAGCGTGCGCTCTCCATCCGCTTCAAACGCAGCAAGGGGAAGCTGATGCTGAAGCACCCCACTCAGAAAAGCAAGACCACCTCTGTCTCCTTCTCCAAGAAGAATCCGGATGCTCCGCCCATCCCAGCCATGGGTGACCTGAGCGTTGTGGAGCAGGGTATCACCCCGGCCAACATGGTGGACGTAGGAAGACCCCCTAACAGGATGCATGGCCGTATGCGCCGCCTGTTCCGCTCAGATCAGTGCTACTACGCCGTGGTGGCGTCCATCATCACCATCACCGTGGCGCTCATGCTGGTGGGAATCCTGGCCTTCGTCATCATCCCAACCATACCCAACCAAACACCCAAGAACCACACCACGTTTCCTCCACATTACGGATTGGACAACGGCGGAGATGAGCCATGAACAGGTCGGAGAGAGGCTCTGGGAAGTCTTTGTATTAGTTTTCTTTGGTATGAAAAGGTGAAGGAAGGACTGCTGATGATGACGCACTCGTGCAACCATGAAATGGAGGGAAACCAGAACGGCAGCATGTTTCCATCAGAGAACGAAACCGCTGCTCATGAAGGAAACGTGACCACCTCCGGGTTTAATGTGAAGACAGACATCTGGACAAACTAAATGCTCCAGTTGTTAAAAAGGCACTAAAATCAGATTTAAAGGTAATCTGGATCTTTCAGAGGATCATTTATGTTTATAGTCCCTGTAAATATTTATAAACGATGTAAATATTTCTAAGTATATGAAGTTAATCAATTAAAAACATTTTTTAAAACAGATCTCAGAATTGAATTATTTTAAATGAAAGGTATTTGTTCCCAGTGTGTAGCAGGAAGTGAGGTCTTCCTGTCCAACTAAGATTCCAGTCTCTCAGGTGTAAAGGCCTCGTCTTCAGCCTCCTGCCCTCAAGTGGTGAAAACACACCTGTTGGCAGAAACTCCCCCTCAGCCGCGCGCTTCCCACTCCTCAAACCCATATGCCAACATGTCGTTCGGATGTCTGATGCCGGCTCAAGGACTGTTGTCAACAACAGGCTGCGGGAATGTCATAAGAGTCAAGGAGAACATCTGAGTCTGATCCAGGTGACGCAGGTCTCTGAGTTTGTTGTTGTTTAAACAGGATGTTTTCACACTTACTCAGCAGCAAAAAGGTCACACAACTGAAGATTGTGTTTGTTTTGACTACTTCTGTATGACCTCTTTCTTGAATGTGTGGACATTTAACATCCACCCATGCATGTGTCATTTATCCATCCATCATCCACGTTAAACACGACTTTTCCCATTGGTGCAGGAACCTTTAGCCAGTTTTATAGATCTGAAGATGGTGCTGGAGTGTTGACTTTTGACCTTGATGTGAACTGCCTAGGAAGTCTACTCCAGAGGCGACGGTCAGCTGTCTAATGTGTTTCCCACCCTTTCTCTCTGCAGAACGATGGACTTGCTATAGTTTGGAAATTACCTTTGACCTTCTCCCAACAATGGTTGCATCTAATGTCTGTCTTCCCTGTGTTAACACACACCTGTATACTCCAGAGCAGCTGAACAAACTCCTCCCACTGGGATCATCACAGATGATTAAAACTTAAAAAAAAAAGATTCATTCGAGTTCAATTTTGTAATCAACACACACACACACACACACACACACACACGGCTGTCATCAGACTGAGTCAATAAGCTAATCATCCTAATCAGCGATGTTTTATATTTTGGTCCATGAACACAAGCAGCTTTAAAAGGATATTTATCTGTTCCATGAACGTCTCTTCATACGGATCAGAAACAATGATTGTTTCAAAAAGATCTCTGTGCAGTAGCGGTTTTAGGCACGGGCAGACAGGGCAGTTGCCCGGGGCGGCATTTTTTCATGACACAAAAGGGGCGCACAAGCGCGGAGTAAAAAAAAAAAAAAACAGGAAATCTGCGCCGCACCGAGGTTTTCTATTATCTGTCATATGACAGTGTCTGGATTGGAAACAGCAAGTTGGCGCCCCCTGCAGCTGCAGGCGCTGAACGTTCACGTGCTCCGTGTGTCTATGAAGAACAGGAAGGGGAGGGGTGCGGCGGGGGAATTCACCTCTGCGTCTTTCCCAAATAAATGAGCGGGTAGGGGCTGAATCAACTGTATTAAGATGGCTAAAGTCAATCACATCTTAACGTTCTTCCATATTTCATTCATAATATCATAAACACAGGCCTATCATTCTTTCAGGTTTCTCTGAATTGTGTGAAATGGCCGAATAAAAAAAGGAAAAACAAAATGATTTTGTGGTCACCCCCCCATCAAGGTCAAATTGTTTAGTCCTGACTAAAGGAAACTTATTGAGTCAAGAGCCAAACAGAAGAGATGAACATAAAAAAGCTAAAACCACCAGGTGCCCCATTCAGGGGGAAAAAAAGAAAAAAGAGGAGAAAGATAAAGGTATGTAGCTCTCATGATGCATGTTTTCAATTATTTGAACCAGTTAACTGGGATTTTAACGGTTAAATGCGGTCAACTAATTGCTAACAGAGCTAATAGGGCTGAAATATTGAAACAAATATTCAAATGGTTTGAAAAAAGTCCTTGAATCGTTTTTTACTGATTCAAACTAGGATTTGTTAAATGCTCACTGCAGCCCGTGGCCTGCCTGAACAACAACAAACACATGTTGATCATGTTCACATAATAATAAATAAAACAATTCTACAAGCTGAAGAAAACACCCCAGTCACCACTAACTATCCTGTTTATTTATTGCAGATGGCTGCACTGATTATTTTTTACATGATTTGTTCTGTAAAAGTTGGCATTTTTGGTAATCTACAGTTTTTTATGTCAGTTTAAATTACAATTTCAGAGGCAATTCTAAAATATTATGGATCATGAGCTCTATTGGAGATCTACCCCAACTTTTGGACTGCTCTGCCAGTCACTGTGGCTCAAGCTGAGAGGAGCTTTTCAAAACTTGATCAAGTCATGCCTGAGGTCACCTATGTTTCAGGGGCGGCTCACTAACCTGGCTCTGATTAGTATCAATCACTCAGTAGGGGAGCAGATTTCATGTGATGACATTATTGATGATGTTGCATCAAGGTTAGGTTTTAATTTTAGTTTGTGTTTTCTATTCTAAGTGCAATGCTGTAGTGATTATCTTTAGTTTGTTATGTGTGAAATATTTTTGCTATTTAGAATATTTATTATCTATTATGTTCATATATTCTTAATATTTAGTTATTGTTTGTTTTTGTATAGTTGATTCTATATATTTTGATACAGTATATAATGTATAGTGATTTACATTCTGACAACTTCATAGTAATTAATGTAAATATGTGCAACTTAGAAAAATTAATGTTCAATAGTTGTTCTAATAAAACATGCCTGTTTGTAGAAAACATGCGTGTGTTCATGCAGGTGGGGTGGTGGTGGTGGTGGTGGTGGTGGTGGTGGGGGGGGGGGGGGGGCGCTCAAAGGGGCCTCGCCCGGGGAGTAATTCGATGTAGAACCGCCACTGTCTCTGTGAAATGAAAAGCTGAAGCTTCATAAAACAATTTTTGTCATAAATTATTTTATTTATGTGAGGAATTTAACACTGTTCTGTTTAGGGCGTTTGTCTTTAATAACGTGTTTTTTATTTTAAAAACTGAAGTGAGGATTTTAAGTCTCGTGACTTCCTTGAGGACACACCTCCCCGAACCGGTGAGGCCGGTCCGGTCCGGTCGGAACCCCCCCAGCCCTCTCCTCTAACCCAAATTAACCTTCAGGCCTCATTATGTGACCGCGCGGACTCAAGCGGACCCGCTCGAGCTTTACAGGACTAATCTGGACTAGCTGGACCTCCATGGCGTCGACCCCCTCCGCCTCCTCCCTATCCGCCGTTCTCCGGTGCCGAGAGGAGATTTGGACCCGAAATCTACCCGCTAAGCGGCCTGCCGCCGCCTACAGCCTCGGGCTGTCCGGCGGCGTGCGGGGCGATGCTCCGGCCAAGCCCAGCGGACCAAACCGGGGGTTCGAGTGGAGGATTTTCTCCCGGGGAGAGCGCCCGGTGGCGGGGAGGGGGCTCTACGTGGCGTGTCGGTGGAAGACCAGAGGGGAAGAAATTTGCCGGGAAACGGATAACATGCATAATCGGAAACTTTCGCAACCCGCCCCCCCTCCTGTCCTGAACTGGCCAGGCTGCGTCATCAAGTCGGAAACACGGACAGGAGTGCTCCACCTGTCCGTCACGATACCGGTTCTACCGGAACCTTCTCCACTCGCCATGATTCTGAAGCTGCTGGTGTCCCGTAGGTCCAGATCCGGAAACCTGCAGCTCCATCAGAGCCACCCGAACCGAACCCAGCAGGTGAGATGCATCAATCAGAACACTACTTGGCCCAGACCACCGAACCTCATGTTCTGTCCTGTTTCAGGTCCAACCCCGGAACACATCTGGACCAGAGGGGACACAAGACAGACCTGACTGAGTCCAAGGCCTCGATACCAAAAATAGGTCCAACACGACCTGCCAAACTCTTATTGACTTTCAGATAGGAACTGGACTTCAGCAGAACCACCAGCGGCTGTTTGTCTCAGAACCAGCAGATTCTGATTCTGCAAGTTTGCACAAAAGCTCATTTTAGCAGAAATCAGCTGTGATGAAACTCCAGAGAAATAAAAATAAACCTGAGTGGGAAAAGAAAAATGATTATTCTCAAAACTTTCCAGCTTTTTGCTAAAATATCTAAACCCGACGAATGAAAAAGGTGAACTCTGGACCGAAACATTTATCTGATGCCTAAAATCAGAACAGTTTGGAAACAAAATGTAAACAAGGAATGAGGAGAATACAAAATAACTCCAGCTTTTTATATAAATAAACATTCAGATACAACTTAAATAACATTAAATTTATAACAAAACATTAAAAGACTGAATGCAAACATATTTTTATGGCAAAAATGTGAATAAAAACTAAATTACAATTTACAATAATACTGTAAATCCTCTAACCGGGCCTGTATTTGACTCAAGCTCATCAAGCTCCAGGCCTTTATTGGAAGGAGGACCAGAATTAGAGGCAGGCCTCTATTTCTATTTGAGCAAAATGAACTAATGGTTCGCTGGAGTTTTTGACAATTAAAATTGCGCCCACATTTTCAAAGTTAAACACATTTCTTTGAACAACGGTAGTTTCTGCTTCAGCCCTCTCCCCCCTCCCCCTGCGCAGCGCCGCAAACTCACTGATGCGCCTGCAGCCTCTCGGAGTTCCTGCTGCTCTAAACATTAAAATAATTATTTCATTTTCTGTTCCTCACTTCTGATTACCTTCAATGGTGTCTGTTTGTTGCAACCACCAGGTACAAAAACTAACTTGTTTTTATTTGACTACGCCTGTTTATTATCTTCCTGCATCTCCTCTCAATCCTAAAGAAAAACTGCTACCTGGGTTCATATATATTCACCTCATGAGTTACCTTTGAACTGCAGTTCTAAAAGATCTACCGACCGCAAAAACAGCAGAGTGCTTGCCGGCCACATCAGTTAGGTGCGTCACCGAGGACAAAATAGGTGATGCGCCCCGATCCACAGCAGCAAAAGGCGTCAGGCACAAATAAAAGCATAAAAGACAGAAAACATAAAATGAAATGAGCCGACATGAACGATCGCGTGTTAAATTAGTTTTTGAGGTGGCGACACCTGATTTGATAATGTTACTGTGGCTGTGCTCAGGACACAGATGTCTGGAGCGCGTCAACAATCAGAGCTTTGCATGCGCAAGCTGGTTAAGGTTAGGATGGGGGTGAGGGGAAGGTTAAATTGCAAGAGGGTAAAGGTCACAATTTGGTCAAATGTCCGTTTTACGGCGGGTGTCAGTACCGACGCTCTGGCACAGCGTGTTGCCTCCCGATTCGCAGGAGCTTGTCACCTGCGGACAGCAGGCTGCTGTCTTTTCCGTGGACTGCATCTTGCCGGTCATTATCACGTGACAGCGACTAGTCGATGACAGGCATAACAAGTCACTATAGAGCAGTGAAGTTGACTAGTGACTAGTTCATACAACCCCTACTGCTCCCCAGAGTGTTCTGCAGCATAATCAGCACGTTCTCTTTGAACTTGATATCAAATTTTCGCCTCCTCTTCGTCTCCGCACGGTTAAAGTTACCCTCGCGGTCTATCACTGGCAAATCAAAAGTGAGACGGATATGACACAACCGCCCCCCCGTACTTGCTTGTTACCACATTCCACCAGGCCACAATAAAAAAACGGCCATTATTCACCTCCGCCGACTCCGACCAAAATATGATACCCGGCAGTTAATTAAATACAGGCTAAAATTAGAGGATTTACGGTATGTAAAAATTGTGTTAAATCTTGTGGTTCATGAACAACTAACATAAACCTACATTTAAAATATCTGAACAGATTTTCATTCAGTTTGTGCAAAAACTGCAAATAGATGCTAATAAAATAGCAACGACACAATTAGCATAAATGTTATAAATCACCAACTAGTAGTAAATTCTGAACAAAAACCACTGATTCATTAACTAAACACAACTTTAGTGTTATTTCCTTTATTAAATACACCTGAAAGTAATCAGGCTCAGGGTGTGTCTTTCTAAAAAGGTCCTGGTGGAAACAATACTTCCTCTGTTCTCCGTGGCTCTAATAATTCTGCAATGCCTCTATTTGGGCGGATCTTCAACAGGTTTGAATCCGATCTGGTTTCATCGTTGTCAAACTTCTCTTAAAGAGACAATGTGTAGTTTTTACCATTAATTTTTCGAAATATATATCAAAATGTTGTTGAAAATGAATGAAATGATGCCCGGTTGTTGAAAAATATTGGCAGCTTTGTAACATATTACCATAAAAATCAGGTCTAAAATACATGGGAGTGGGTATAAGGCCCAATCTTAATACTTGCATTGCGCCCTGCGGTCTTCTGCAAAGTGCACTTGGAGAAAGTGCACACTATGGTTTGAGTACGTAGTACAGAAGTGTGCAAATAAATGCAGAATTGACACAAGAGAGCATTGCGTCATCGATCGCAACGCATGCCGGGATGCTGATCGCTGTGATACTTTTTTCAAAAACTTTTCTTAACAACTTTCAAACAAACAATAAAGGAATTATTTGAAATAAATGTAACTTCATTGCTGCTTTGTCCAAAACATTCAGAGCATCAACTAATCGTCCTAAAATGAACTAATTTAATTGGAAAATACATATTTTCAGAAAAGGATCTTGAGCCTTTTCTCCTGCAGCAACGACTTGTGGGTTATACGCTTATCCATGGTCCGCATTGCTGCAAACTTGGGTGAAGTGCAGATTAAGTGGTCAACTTCTGCGCTTGAGAATCGGGGCACCCTACGCACTCGCACCCCTGGCCGGGAATGCACAATTGAAGGGTGCAAGGGTGCAAGTGTGAGTATTGGGACTGGGTCGAAGTCTCTGGGCTACGCCATATTAGATGCCATGTTTCCTTCTACGGGAGCCCATGAGGACAAAATGCATTTACTGATTTGTAACAAACGGTTACAAAACGTTCATCATTCTTAAATGTTGTTTTACACATTTACCTCTTCAGTTGTTGCCAGTGATGAAAGAGAGTCTGATGTGCTTGTCATTTTGCTATGGTTTGCACTCCCCAGGGCTTTTTGGCCCTAATGGGTATCCGTTGGTAAGGTCTTCTTCCAACACAAAGTACTGCTTGCTTGCAACGATTTAGGTATCTATCACTCCCTATCACCAGGAAAAATACACACTCACTTTAAGGAAAGCTTCATACCACAGATCCCCACAGCTGTGTCCAGACATTTACAGAATAATGCAAAATTAATCGTCACAAAAATCTGGAGACAAATCAGATCAATCTCTCTTTGTTATGAAAGTAAACATAACCCAGAAAAACGAACCCTGGCCTCCATATTAAAGATTTCATTACATGTAAATCAAACTTTTATCAAATAATTAGAAAGCAGCAGAAGGCTTCCAGGCACCCAGCAAGGTCCATCAGCTCCTGACCCGTCTTGTTGAGTTGATCCAGCAGAAGGATCGGATCACTTTCTGCAGTAAAGTGAGGACCACTGTTTAAGGATATCCTGAAGGGTAGCAAAGAAGCAGCTTGTCTCCAAGGAAACCATGGATCAGACTGATGTTCTGTTGAAGGTCCAGGGATTGGCCTGCTGAGGACAGGAGGAAACTCATCTTCTCGGAAAAATCTTCTTGTTGATGATTTGGTGATGAACAATAAATTATCTTGGTCAGAAGGCTAAGACAAAACTACAGTGGGATGTGAAAAATATTTAGTCAGTTTTCATGATTTTCCAGTATAAATCATTGATTGTTGCAATAAAAATTTTCATTTAAATATTTTAGAGGCCGACCAATATGGTTTTTTTAAAGGCCGATGCCGACACCAATGTTTAAAGGAGTTTGTTGTCGATGGCCGATATCTAAGACTGGTGTGTGTGTGTGTGTGTGTGTGTGTGTATATATATATATATATATATATATATATATATATATATATATATATATATATATATATATGTCGATGGATGGAACCACCACCATGTTTTACTGTAGGTAGCAGGTGTTTTTCTTGGAATGCTACAATTCGTGGGTGAAAATTTGACCACTTGTACCTTACACTCTGTTCTTTTTCCTGCCTAGCACCCCTTGTTATGCCCAAATAACTCCATTTTAGTTTCATTAGTCCACAGCACTTTATTCCAAAATGAAGCTGGATTGTCCAAATGTGCTTTAGCATACCTCAAGCTGCTCTGTTTGTGCTGTGGGCAGAGAAAAGGGTTCCTCTGCATCACTCTCACGAACAGCACCTCCTTGTGTAAAGTGCACCAAAAAGTTAACAACTACTGATTCATATGGATGCTGTAATTCTCCTCCTGTAACCATGGAAATGCCTGACCGAAAGATCCAGAAACATTAAACCAGAAAACTGAAAACAACTCAGGAGGTTTTAAACTAGTTTTATTTAAGGTTTATTCAGAAAACTGAAATTTGAGGTTTATGATGAGTTGAATGTGAAACAAAATTCTGTCTCCCTCCACCCCCACGTGAGTTATTTGCATTGCAAAATCATTTTCATTCTTCCTTTTTCTCTGTGAATCATGTGGAACAGAATCAGCAGGTTTAACTGAGGGATAAAACTCAGTCAGAACTCCGTTAGAAGTGTTTAACTAATAAAAACAAAACAATAATAATTTTATATTATATACATACAAACTGTTTTGTTAGTAGAAGCTCTGTTTAATGAGTTTTCATTTTGAAATGTGTGCTTTTATTTGTATTTTAGTGTGTTTCAACATGGCATCGTCTTCTGTTTTACTGAAAAACACTCCAGGATGTTTCCATTTTAGAAAAGTTTCACTTGTAAAAACATAAAATTTCGTTTTATTTTGCAGACTATTTTATCCAAAGTGGCTCACAATCAACTTGCTTATTTTTGTTTGTGGGGAAAAAAATTCACAAATGCATGAGGATATGCTGACTAATCAAACTAATCGAATAAAGAAAAAATAAAATCTCTTATCTTTCATAAGTTATGGATGACAACAAGATATTTTTATGGACAACATTCAAAGATTGAATCATTTTCCAGTATTTTAACGAGTTTCCTTGAAAGGGAACTCACTTAATCAAAAGTTAAACATGAACTATAAACAAGAGTTTTGTTTGACTTAATTCATTTGCATTTATCCCACTGAGTTAACAAATAGTTTATCTCTCTGAAACCTGAACAGGAGGAAGTTATTTACAATCATTTACTGACAGCCATGTCCACTCTTTCCGGATGAGGGACAAAATCATGAAGGTGTAAGTCATCATGGGCCACAGAATTTTGTTTTTCAAATTCTAACAATACAAAAATTATTTTATAGGGAAAAACATTCAATGTTTTAATAAACAGCAAACGTTTTTTTTAAATATATATTACATTGCCTATCAGTATGTGTGCAGCTGTTTCTGGTTAACGTAAGTCCTTATCATCATCTCGGTCACTCTTCTGTCATGTTTGCTGAAATCAGTCCCATTTTAGCCAATATGTCTGAATTTTAGTAGAGTTTGAGCTCCCAGTTAGGTAAAACAACCTGATGAATATTTAAACTTTAACTAACTAAAATGTTTTTTTTAATCTGTTTTGATCACGAATGAACTCGGAACAAATCTGAAGATAAAAAACGTAAAAAGGATTTAATTCATTTTTCGAAATGCAGCTGAGGACCAAAGAAAACCCGTGAGGGCCACGCGTTGGACACCCAACCAGCAGAACATTATCCGGGTCGGAACCGAACACCCGAACCCACCTGGTTCTGATCAGCTCCACACTGAAAACTTGCGTAACATCTTAGTGACAGTTAGGGGGCGGGACTTCCGGTTTTGCCTGAGACGAGGAAGCTGTCGTGTCCCTCCTCGTCCTCCCCCCGCCTCAGCTCCACTCCTCCAATAAACTATACCAACTCGGACGCGACAAGTTTCTCCCGCAGCTGAGTCGAACCGGGGAGCGGCTCGTTTCGGACTCCCGGCCGCCTGTCGTCCAACTGTTGACGGTTGTCATCGAGGGAATGAGTCCCGGAGGAGGAAGTGTGCTCATCTTCAGGGTGAGAAAGCGTCTCAACTCCTGCAAAACCCACCAAACTGTTCTGTAACGACAGCAAAACGCGGGGTTCGGGTGAAAGTGAGGTTTACGTGGGTTCAGCAGCCAGAGGTGAGACGGCAACGTCGGTGGGGAACAGCTGGACGGGTCCTACCTCAGGCTGTCGAACCCGAAGCACATGTTTTTCATGTTCTCCTGCTCTTATTTGCATGTTGTTGTTTTATGTTTCAGTGGGAGGAAAGGGTTTGAGAGCTGAGGATCAGAACTTTTCTCCAGGATGAGTCCACTTTCACTCAAACAGCTGTTTAGGAGCTAAGTCAACAGATGGATGGATCTTTGAAACAGAACCCAGACCAGCCTTCCTGTATCCCGTTCCTTTAGACTGAAACCAGGTCAGCCCTTTCTCTTCACACCCAGCCTGTCTCTCACCCTTCCTTCTGCCATGTTCCGAAGAAAAGGCTCTCTGATATTCTGTGGTGCCATCCTGTTCATCGCCTGGAACGCCCTCCTGGTGCTGTTTCTGCTGGGCAGAGGTCCATCGGGCCAATCGGGCGAGGGTAGCAGAGGTGTGGTGGAAAGGCCCACCGATGATCTGGTGGGAGAAGTGATCCGCATAGCTGACGCTTTTGAGATGGAGCTGGAGAAACAGAGGGAAATCCTGATCCAGGTCCTGAAGCATCGGCCGCTGTGGGAGCAGAAACGACCAACGGTCAAGGCCCCAAGTCAGCCTGTCATTCCCATCCTGGTGATCGCCTGTAACAGGGTCACCATCCGACGCTGCCTGGATAAACTCCTGGAGCACCGACCGTCCACAGAGCTGCACCCAATCGTCGTGAGTCAGGACTGCGGGCACGCTGAGACCGCAGAGGTGATCCGCTCCTACGGGGATAAGATCACTCACCTGAAGCAGCCGGATCTGTCAGACATCGCCGTCCAACCGGAGCACAAGAAGTTTCAGGGCTACTACAAAATCTCCAGACACTACCACTGGGCTCTCAGCCAAGTTTTCCAGAACATCTCCTACTCCTCTGTTGTAATAGTAGAGGATGACCTGGAGGTAACCGGAGCTTTGCTGAAAATGATACTGTTTTCTTTCTGCTTCTAAACAAACAAATATCTGTCCTTCGCTGTAGGTGGCACCAGACTTCTTTGAGTATTTCCGATCGCTGCTGCCACTCCTGAAGTCTGACCCCAACCTGTGGTGTGTGTCTGCCTGGAACGACAACGGTAGGGACGGCTTCGTGGATCCTGGCAAGGCAGAACTGCTGTACCGGACAGACTTCTTTCCAGGCCTGGGGTGGATGATCCTCAGGGAATTATGGGAGGAGCTGGAGCCTAAGTGGCCCTCTGCATTCTGGGATGACTGGATGCGTCATCCGGAGCAGCGCCGTAACCGTGCCTGCATCCGGCCGGAGATCTCCCGGACGTTAACGTTCGGCCGGCAGGGTGTGAGTCTGGGTCAGTTCTACGATAAGTACCTGCGCTACATCAAACTCAACACCGAGTTTGTGCCTTTCACCAAGCTGGATCTGAGTTACCTGGGGGAGCAGGTGTACAGGGAGCACTTTGAGAAGGAGGTGTATGGTGCTCCTGTAGTTTCATACGAAGATGTGAAGCAGGGTCAGCTGACAGGATCCGGTCCTTTCCGCCTTCAGTACTCCAGTAAGGACAGCTTCAAAGTCCTTGCCAAAAACCTGGGAATCATGGATGACTTGAAGTCTGGAGTACCGAGGACTGGATACAGAGGGGTGGTCAGTTTCTTTTCAAGGGGGCGTAGGATCTACTTGGCCCCGCCTCCTGGCTGGACCCAGTATGATCCCACCTGGAGCTGATGATCCAGATTAGCTTTCCAAGTGCTGTAGCCTTTGTTTTTTTTAAAAACTCATTTGAGTAAATCCTTCCAGACCAAAGACGAAGATTGTCATTGACGATCCAGAATGTGCTTCCTGCCAACACTACTCAGGTTTCCTCACGAGTCCAAAACGTCTGACAGTTCAGAGCTCAGCCTGAACCCTTTTATATGATCACACATCTGCTGTAACGCACCAGAGATCTGTTTTTATAGGAGAGTAAAGATGCACACCGATGCTATTGGTGCAGAAACTTGGGTTGCCTTTTTGTTTAAATTATTTGAAGCGTCTGATAATCTGTGACCAAACTCAAGAGAAGGAAACACGACCTGTGCTTCAGTTTTAGTTTGGGAGTGGTTCTGTCCTTTCTAATTCTTGTTTTCTATGAAATCAGCTCTTCTTTCATACAGTTTTTTTTGATAATTTTGTGTAAAATTCTCCTGATGGTTTTGTTTAAAAACAAATGGGTATGGGAAATGTTTTGGAATAAAATCATATCTTTAGTTGTTTTGTTTCAATTCTGCTCTTTTCCATTGTTTAGTGTTCATAAAACCTATATTTTATATAAATTCAACAGACTTTGGTGATGTCATATTTTCCTTCCAAGCAGCCTGATCTCTCCTTGATTTTATTAAGTGACTCATAGTCCCTGTTTTTTGTGGGTTTTGGCTCAGTTTAGCACAGGGAATAGGACTGGTGGGGGATAAGTTATCATCATCCTTTAGCTGATCGAGTATTTCATCCAGCAAAGAGGGTTTAGGCTAATGTTGTAGAGGTCAAAGTTCAGTGTCCAAACAAACAAACTTAGAAGTTCATGTAGAAGAACATTGTCATGTCAAAGTCCAAAGCTAACGTCTGAAAGACCTTTTAAACCATTGCTCAAGACTTTTGCACATTATGGGATGAGGATAATTAGTGCAGACATGCGGCAGAAAAAGAAAAATGCACAGGAGCTAATTGAAGATTAGTTTAAGGGTTTATTTCCATTTAAGTGAAAATTTTAACCAGTGCAGATTTAAACCCAATAATACAGTTTAAAACCAATAAAATGTCAAAAACATGAAAACGTTCGACTCGTAGTGTTTATAAAAACTTTGTAACCAGTGTTTTGTGGTCTACGGTGGCCGCACAGGCTCAAACGCCTTAGCTCCTCTTGCAGGTGTCGGGTCTATTTTCCATTTGTGATGATGACATGATACCGAGCAGTCCCGCTAGCTAGCCTAGCTATAGTGTTTGGGGTGCCGATTAGAGATGGAGGATGGAGGAGGCTTAAAGGGGGGTCATACCGATAAATCTCATTATTTTCTTTACTTCACGGTAGCTGTTCGTTTTCACCCGTTTGCTGAAACACAACCGTTCCGGTGTTAGCCTGCTAGTAAGCTAGGCTATGCTAGGTTAACGCTGAAAAGGGTTTTTGTGGGATGTAAAATGGCTACAGTTTCAAACCCACTTATCTTCTGTTCTGGTGCATTTCTCTGATTTATCTCTGTTCGTGTTCCGGTCGGTGGACTGGGTTTGTAAAACAAACAAGCCGCGTCCGCTGGGTGAACGACCCTAAAAGCCCCGCCAACGCCGCCCGGCCCCTGGAATGGAGCCAGGCGACTTGCGAGAAAGCCCCGCCGGTTCCGGGGAGTCAGATGTCGGGGAGTGGAGGGAAGTGACTCCCGGTGAGGAGGATGACGAGATCAAAGCGGCAGAACCTAACGGAGCCAAGGCTGAGACGGAGCTAAGAGACATCTGCTGGGAGGACGAGAAACAAAGGAGTGTCGGAGAACCGCTGCACAGTCCGTATGAAGAGGAGCTGGATCCCCGGATCCAGGTGAGACTACCGGCCGCTGATTGTTACCTGTCAGCGATGATCTAACCACCATCAAAACAGTAGATGTGACTCACTGGGTGCCATTACCGCCGGGCTTTTTTCAGATTAGGATACATGGATGATTAATATTTAGAAGGACTTTATCTTAATTACATTTAGCAATAATCTTTGTTAATCTGGTGTTCGGATTGGATTATCGCCTGCTCAGGCCATCCGTTCCAGTTTATGATCAATATTATCCTCAAATATGTAGTCATTACACATGTTTTTGTTCTGTTCGTTTCCATATTGTTATTTTTCATACAGGAAGAGTTGGAGCACCTTAATGAAGCCAGTGCGGAAATCAACAGACTGGAACTGGAACTGGATGTGAGTGATCACTGATCAAATATATAAATACATCATTATTATTAATAAACTATATTTTAAAAAACCTGTACGTTGGGGTTTACCCCAGTGAATGAGACGGTAGCCTCCCTCCTCCTACGTGTTGGGGGGGCGGGTTCTGACTGTGGTCTGTGCTTATGCACCAAACTACAGTTCAGACTACCCACCCTTTTTGGAGACCTTGGAGGGGTTGCTGGAAAGCGCTCCTTCCGGTGACTCCCTAGTTCTGCTGGGGGACTTTAACGCTCACATGGGCAACGACAGTGAGACCTGGAGAGGTGTGGTTGGGAGGAACGGCCCCCCCCGATCTTAATTTGAGTGGTGTTTTGTTATTGGACTTCTGTGCCAGTCATGGATTGTCCATAATGAACACCATAAAGGTGGAAATATACTTGCTTTTTTACCTCGCGTAACCTCGCGTTACTACAAACAGCCTGCTGCGTCTTCAGCGCGTATTTGCCTGCATACTGCACGCACTACTGGAGGGTTCCGCTAGAGGTCAGTGTACCGTATAGTGTGTGGCATTATACCAAAACAAAATAAACATGGCGACGATAGAGGAGTTAAGTAGCTGGTTAATTTTAAGATTACGACAGAAAAAAAGACGGCGTCGGTGTCGTAGATGGTATGTGAGACCACTAAACCAGGCACGACAAGACAACGGAGAATATGTTTCGCTCGTTTTGCCGATGAGGGAAATCGACGATGAAAAACATTATAATTACTTCCGAATGTCCTCATCTGCTTTTGACGAGTTGCTCAGAAGGATTGAGACACTGATTTCCCACCGACGCACACATAGTGCTCCCATTAGCTCATCACAGCGCCTTGCTGTCACACTACGATTTCTTGCTACTGGTTGTAGCTACCAATCCCTGGCAGCCAGCTATAAACTTGGATCCGCAACAGTTGGATGTATTGTAAAAGAAGTTTGCGAAGCTATATGGACAGCACTCAAGGACGACGTCGTGGCCTTTCCCAGTGTTGCAAAGTGGATGGAAATTCAGGAGGAATTCTGGTCTCTTTGGAATTTTCCTAACTGTGTCGGAGCAATCGATGGGAAACACATTCGAGTTCGAGCTCCAGCCAATAGTGGAAGTTCCTTCCACAACTACAAAGGGTACTTCAGCTTCATCCTGATGGCTGTGTGTGACGCCAGGTGAGTGGTAGAATGCTATACCCACCCCTAGTAAGTAAAAGGTCGGTTTTTATATTCCCCAGAGTTAAGTGAGGAAAAGCATGTTTTTAACTAATCCTCCTGACCTGGCAGCAGTGTCTTTTGTTTATCATGAAACAATCTTTGTTGTTCCATTTCATTTACATAGTTTTATGCTAACCTAAAGCAAACTGACAGGTCAGGAGGATTAGTTACTTGCTTTTTCTCACTTAACGCTGGGGAATGTAAAAACTGACATTTTATTTAGGGGTGGAGTATACTTTTTACAGAATCATATTCTTTTATTTTAAACTAATTGAAATGATTTGTTTATGCACTTATTGCTTGAAGTCATATTTGCACAGACAAATCATTTCACTGAGGATTTATTTAATTTTAAAGTCATATTTATTGCAGATAAACATCATTTGGAGCTGGGCGTAAAATAAAACCTATTTCCTTACTTCAGGTACAGATTTACACTTGTGGATATTGGAGCCTTTGGCCGTGACAGTGATGCTGGTGTGTTTTCAAGAAGTGCCTTTGGATCCCAGCTCATCAAGGGGGAGCTGCACCTGCCACCGCCATCTCCTCTGCCAGGTGCTGTTGTTCGGAGTCCCCCAGTCTTCGTTGCAGATGAAGCTTTTCCACTGAAAGTGAACCTGATGCGGCCATATTCAGGTAGAGAATTTGAATCAACTAAGTTTGACTCAATCACTCATCCCTAAACAAGACAATAATTATATTTTCTTATGTTTATAATAGGGACCAACCTCACAGCAGAGCAGCACATCTACAACTATCGACACAGCAGAGCAAGGCGGGTAATAGAAAATGCCTTTGGCATTTTGGCTGCACGATGGAGAGTGTTTGGGAAAGCCATGGAGTGTTCTGTTGACACTGCTGAATTAATAACAAAGGGATGTGTTGCTCTTCACAACTTCCTCTGTGGTACTGACCAACTCCAAGCTGAGACAGCAAGGTACATCAGTAGAGTGGACGAAGGAGATGTCTTGGGAGAATGGAGGCAAGTTGTGGAGACCGACACAAACCTCTTGGACACCGGACGCTTGACTTCTGAGCGTGCTACACGACATGGCACTGAGGTGCGGAACAGCTTGATGAACTATTTTCAAACCGAAGCAGGAAGAGTGTCTTTTCAGGACAACATCCTCCAACGGGGCACACTGCATTAGTGTATATCTATTTGCTTGTGGTGTCAGTTTAAATGTTTTTTGCACGTGATTTGTTTCAGCACAACACAAGGAAATCCAATGAATTGTTTTTATTTATCTGCAAAATAAAACTGATTCAGTTCAAGTTTGTCATTGGAACAGTTATTTTTTTTATAAATGGTCATATTAAATTTGTATAAAACATAACATTTCATTTTAACAAGACAACAAAAGTTCAAGTAATTTTTGTAGTGCTGTCATTCATAAAACATTTTAAGCTTTCAACCTGAAGAACATTCAGAAGAAATGTGGAAAATCTGCAAACATGCTGCAGCACATGAGAACATTCTGCTGAATTAAATCATTGAGGCAGTTTCGGATTTTTAAGGAGTTTTTTGCCTCATGAGGTGCTATCAAACTGGTTTCATATTCACCTCAGCGCCTATGAGGCAGAAAAATTAACGGCTGTAGTAAATGACTGCTCTCGTGTACTGCAGGCTTAACAAACAACACAACAACAAACAGCACAAGAAAACTGCATGGGAGGAACATTAAATAAAATAACATTATCTACTCATAACATTGCATGAGCTGCTTAACTTCCTTCATGAGTCTTTGTGCATCATGCGGATCCAGCTGCTGAAGGAACATACCCATGTAGCTTCCAAAGGTTGTGTAGATGTTGTGACCTGCACGAGCTTCCTCTCTAACCTCTGCCAGCCTCTGGAGGAGGGCAGCATCCACAGGATCCAGCTCTTTGGGTCTTTTCTTCTTTCTTGGAGCGGTGGGTGTTCTGGAAGATGTACTGGGTCCTGAAGTGGTCTGAGATGAGGTAGATGGGTCAGGTGAAGGATCTGGTTCAGGTGTGCTTCCAGGTGAAGGAGTCGTGGTCTCTTCATTACACATCTACAGCCAGTGCCACAAACAAGACATTTGTCAACTACACAGATGTGACATGATGAGAATTGTGATATGAAATGCTAGTTTATTTTAAGTACAGGTAAACTAGAATGTTAGCTCCTCGTCTGTTTAAAAAAAAAACAGCCCAGAGTGGATTCGGATGTTTACTTACGGGCCTGCTTTGTGGGAAGTTGGTCTCGGTTGAACGGTGGTTTATAAAACTGCTGAGCCAACCCAGGCGTCTGACGATAGCTGGACAAAACACGCCGTCTGCACCGTCCCCACTCCGTTTCTCCATCATCTTCCTTCGAGCCCTGACGTAGCGGTCTCGGACTTGTTTCCATTTTATTTTGCACGTCTCGGCGTCGCTTTGTATGTTGTCACTGATCTCCCTCCAGCTGTTCTGACAAGCATACTTGTCGCTGTGCAGTGGTAACGACACATCATAAAGATGTGGATAGTTCCGAACCTGGTCGATTAGCTTTTCTTCAAAGCTTTCTGACATTTTAAAACTACTGAGGTTTGTCGCCGTTGACCCCGTACTACATCCGGTTAAACAACGCTCTACACTCCGCCTAGTGGTTAGCCGTATATTGCAGCGTGCGGCCGCGTCGCGTTAATTTCAGAGGACGTGCACAAACGACGCATCAAACGAACGCAAACTACGCAAGGTAGCCATGATACGTACGCGTACGCGTTGTTAAAAGCAAGTATATTTCCACCTTAAAGGTGTCCATATGTGCTCTTGGCACCAGGATACATTAGGCCACAGCTCGATGATCGACTTTGTTGTTGTTTCGTCTGACCTGCGGCCGCAGGTCTTGGACACTCGGGTGAAGAGAGGAGCGGAGCTGTCAACTGACCACTACCTGGTGGTGAATTGGCTCAGATGGTGGGGGAGGATGCCGGTCAGACCAGGCTCAAACGTATCACGAGGGTCTGCTGGGAACGTCTGGCAGAGTCTCCTGTCAGAAGGAGCTTCAAATCCCACCACCGACAGAACTTCCAAAATGTTCTGGGGGAGCGGGGGACATTGAGTCTGAATGGACCCTGTTCCGTGCCTCCATTGTCGAGGCGGCCGACCGGAACTGTGGTCGCAGGATCGTCAGTGCCTGTCGTGGTGTCAACCCCCGAACCCGCTGGTGGACACCGGCGGTTAGGGATGCTGTCAAGCTGAGGAAAGTGTCCTATCAGGTCTTTTTGACCTGTGGGACTCCAGAGGCAGCTGACGGGTACCAGCAGTCCAAGCGGAACGCGGCTCGGGTGGTCGCCGAGGCAAAAACCCGGGCAAGGGAGGAGTTTGGTGAGACCATGGAGCAAGACTTCCGTGCGGCTTCAAGGAGAGTCTGGTCCACCATCCGGCGCCTCGGGGGGAAAGCAGTGCACTACCAACACTATCTATAGTGGGGACGTTGTGCTGCTGACCTCTACTCAGGACGTTGTGGATCGGTGGGCAGAATACTTTGAAGACCTCCTCAATCCCACCAACACTTCTTCCAGTGAGGAAGCAGAGTCTGGGGACTTTGGGTTGGCCTCTCAAATCTCTGGTGCTGAGGTCACTGAGGTGGTTAAAAAGCTCCTCTGTGGCAAGGCTCCAGGGGTGGATGAGATCCACCCGGAGTTCCTTAAGACTCTGGATGTTGTGGGGCTGTGTTGGCTGACACGGCTCTGCAATATCGCATGGACATCGGGGGCAGTCCTACCGGACTGGCAGACCGGGGTGGTGGTCCCCTTATTTAAAAAGGGGGACCGCAGGGTGTGTTCCAACTACAGGGGAATCACACTCCTGAGCCTTCCTGGTAAGGTCTATTCAGGGGTTCTGGAGAGGAGGGTCCATCGGATTGTTGAACCTCAGATTCAGGAGGAGCAATGTGGTTTTCGTCCTGACTGTGGAACACTGGACCAGCTCTATACCCTTAGGGGGATCCTGGAGGGTGCGTGGGAATTTGCCCAACCAGTCTACATGTGTTTGTGGATTTGGAGAAGGCGTTTGACCACGTCCCTCGGTGGGCCCTGTGAGGGGTACTGTGGGAGTATGGGGTACCAAGCCCTCTGATATGAGCTGTTAGGTCCCTGTATGACCGGTGTCAGAGCTTGGTCCGCATTGCCGGCAGTAAGTCGGGCTCGTTCCCAGTGAGAGTTGGACTCCGCCATGGCTGCCCTTTGTCACCGATTCTGTTCATAACCTTTATGGGCAGGATTTCTAGATGCAGCCAAGGTGTGGAGGGCATCCGTTTTGGTGGCCTGAGGATCAGGTCTCTGCTTTTTTGCAGATGATGTGGTCCTGTTGGCTTCATCAGAATGTGATCTTCAGCTTTCGCTGGAGCGGTTCGCAGCCGAGTGTGAAGCAGCTGGGATGAGGATAAGCTCCTCTAAATCTGAGACCATGGTCTAGATTCAGAAAAGGGTAGAATGCCTTCTCCGGGTCAGGGATGAGGTCCTGCCCCAAGTGGAGGAGTTTAAGTATCTCAGGGTCTTGTTCACGAGTGAGGGAAAACTGGAGCGTGAGATCGGTAGGCGGATTGGTGCTGCATCTGCAGTGATGCGGGCGTGGTGAAGAGAGAGCTGAGTCAGAAGGTGAAGCTCTCGATTTACCAGTCGATCTACGTTCCTACCCTCACTTATGGTCATGAGCTTTGGGTAGTGACCGAAAGAACGAGATCACGGATACAAGCGGCCAAAATGAGTTTTCTCCGAAGAGTGGCTGGGCTCTCCCTTAGAAATAGGGTGAGAGGCTCGGTCATTCGGGAGGGGCTCGGAGTAGACCCGCTGCTCCTCCACATCGAGAGGAGCCAGTTGAGGTGGCTCGGGCAGCTGGTCAGGATGCCTCCTGGACGCCTCCCTGGTGAGGTTTTCCTGGCACGTCCAACCGGGAGGAGACTTAAAGGTAGACCCTGGACACGGTGGAGGGACTATGTCTCTCACCTGGCCAGGGAACGCCTTGGGATTCCCCCGGAGGAGCTGGCCCAAGTGGCTGGGGAGAGGGAAGTCTGGGCCTCTCGCCTTAGGCTACTGCCCCCGTGACCCGACTCCGGATAAGCGGATGAAAATGGATGGATGGATATTAAAAAAGGTAGTAGTTTTTATGTTGACATGACAGCTGTTTGCTCTAAATGTTTAATATTCTACTTATAAGGCACGCAGTGTGATGTATGGAAAAGGTGGGGCTCTTAAAATGGAAACAATATCACTGGTGGTAGTTTGACACTCAGCGAATTGATTGTTCACTTCCAGCTGTTCTCCTGCATGAAATGCGATCAGCTGTTCCAGTTGAGGTAAATCTAATCTTTTCATTTTCATGCATTAACCATGAAGGACGCCAGATCGTGCTACAGGAAGATCCTGACCGAGTCTGCCAGGAAGCTGAACGCTCAGAGCTCTCAGCTCGGCAGCTGCATAGAAAAAGCAAGACCTTATTATGAAGCTCGTCGCCTTGCTAAAGAGGTATTAATGAGTTAATCAGTTCTGTCTGGAGTCTTTATACATAAAACTGCTTGGTGTCTTGATGAGTCCAGTTCTTACCTGGTTGTCTTGTGTCCTAGATGACACAATATTTTTATTATATTATTTAAAGACAGATTCTACTTCTTTTTACCGGAAACAAGACACTTTTTTTTTCTCCAATTCAAACCTTGTGTCTTTATGGGCCAAGTCTCAGACTTGGGTCTCTGTCTCCTCTTTACCTGAATGTTTTTCTTTAAACCCAACCTGTGATGAAACACTATTTTGACTCACATCCCATTGGACTTGTTCTGATCAGTGGGGTTGTTGTCCCGGTCTGCCTCTGTAAAAGGATCTTCTGCTCCCTGTAGGCTCAGCAGGAGACCCAGAAGGCTGCGCTGAGCTATGAGCGAGCTGTTTCTATGCATACGGCTGCCAGGGAGATGGTCTACGTAGCGGAGCAGGGCCTGATGGCCGACGGCAAGAACACTCTGGATCCCACCTGGCAGGAGATGCTGAACCACGCCACCGCTAAGGTAAATAAAACAACCAGCCAGGTGACACGGGGCTGAGGACATGAGGTGGACAGCAGCTCGCAGGAAGTCCTTCCTGGTTTTTGTCATTTCCTCCATATTTGAGCGTCGCTCTGCTGTAATCTGTAATCTTAGTGAAACTAGATGAGCTGCGTGCATTATTAAAGACAGGAAATGTGAATCAAAACAGAATCAGTGAGCTGGTAAATTAGCTGAGGTGTTTATTAGCGTAAACCAGTGATCCCCAACTCTCTTCCCCGAGGACCGGTCTCCAGCATGTTTTAGTTCTTTACATAGTCCAGCATATATGATTTACCTGGCCAGCAGCTCATCAAGATCTACACAAGCCTGTTAATTATCTGCTGATTAAAACAAGGTGTGCTGAAGCAGGGAAAACAATAAAACATGCTGGATACCAGCGCTTGGGGAAGGGAAATGGGGCAAACAGACTTTTTTATATGATTGAGCGCATGCACACTCAATGTCTGGATCACTGTCAGATTAACATGTTTTAGTGCTTCTGATGGAAACTGCTGCTCCTGTTTGTCCTGCAGGTGAATGAAGCTGAAGAGGAGCGGATCCGGAGTGAGAGGGAACACATGCGCGTCACGCACGCCTGTCAGGAGGCCGAGGCTCGAGTCCAGATGCTGCAGAAATCCCTGAAACGAGTCATCTTGAAGTCCAAACCTTACTTTGAGTTGAAGGCCCAGTTAAACAACATCCTGGAGGTAAAACAAACAGCAGGAGTGAAGAAAAGATGCTATTTGTGTGGAAGGGCTTTATGGTGCATTCACGTCTGGGTCGGCTCAGTCTGGTAGACCCTGGTAGGTTACTGTGTCCACATCTGGGTAATCTGTGCATTTTCCGTGCTAAACCGATGGGTTTTCTTGGATGCGGTCAACTTCGAGCTCAGCCAACCCAACACAGCAACGACTGACTGAAGTTCATGCTTAACTATAGAGGAAGCCTCTGATTGGTGGGTAGACTCAGTCAGCTGCTGCTTTCTGCATGCGCGATTCATCATCAGTCCGGATGTAGCGGGGTAAACATCTCCTCTGACTGCAGCTCAAATCTGCTGCTCCAGCCATGGCTGCGTGAAGACCGACTTGTGAGAGGAGCCTATGGCAGCACCACTGCTCAGTGAGCGAGTGAAGCTGCGTGCTTCATGTCGGAGTCATGATGCCCACGTCTGCCTTTGTTTACAAACTTAAGGAGGACATCACAGAGTTATTTGCGTGTCTTTTGCCCCGCTACCAAGACTGAACCGACCCAGATGTGACTGCACCATTAGATGTTTTATAAGTGACGATTATGAAGATGATGGTGATAGTGGTGGTGATTATGGTTTTCTGTATTTCCAGGAGCACAAAGCCAAAGTGATGCAGCTGGAACATAACGTGTCCAAAGTGAAAACCCGCTACTCCATTGCTCTGAGGAACCTGGAGCAGATCAGCGAGCAGATCCACGCTCAGAGGGGGCGGGACCCGGCTGAGGGAGCACCTCCCACTGGCTGTGGTGGGCGGAGCCCCCCAGTTGGTGCCGAGTCAGACGCCAGAGTAAAGGAGGAAGATGGAGCCTGTGGGGGCGGCGCGATGGGGAAAGATCGACTGGATGCAGCCGCGGATCTGCTGGAGCGATACAAAGAGACAGAAAACGAGAAGGAAAGGGAGCGAGCCGGCTCAGATTCCCTATCTGTCTTCAGCCTGCAGACCATCGCTTCCGATTTGGAGAAATACGACTCTGTTGAGCACCTGGGCGACCTCAGCGACGTCGGGAGTGTAACTGGGGATGAAGGGGAGAAAGAAAGAGGAGTGATGACTAAAAGAGATGTACTGATGGAGCCGTCGATCCGAGAGCGCCAGCAGCAATTCTCCAAGCAGCACTACCGGAGCTTCAGCTTGTGAGGTCACAGGAACCCCACTAGTTCCAGGAGAGGAAGGTGGTACCGATCAGCTGGGAATTAAACCGGAATGGTTCTGTAGTAAAATGTAATTCAGCTCATGTCCTTTGTGCTTAACACTGACACAGTTATAACACAGCTAACACTACCCCCCCCCCCCCCCCCCCCCCAGTCGAGCTCCGCTCCCTCTGGAGCTTCTGGGTAGAACTTGTTCCTTTAGCATGACGGAACAATGAGGAACGCTAAAATAGTCCCTGTTTGAACTGACAAATTTAAGCTAGAATCTTTTTATCTTCTCAGGCTAATCGTTGATCTGATCATGTCACGCCCAATCAGCTACGAGGAAATGGGGTCACATGACTCAGCAAGTCAGGAAACTATGACAAAAGCGTTCCTGCAGAACAAAAGCACGTCTTATTCAGTATTTGTCTCCCGAGTCTCATGGAGCTGAGGTACTTTTGGCAGCAGGAACACGTTTTTCGAACGTTCCTGCACTTTGGCCTTTTAATGGCGTCTCTCAAGTCTTAACTGGTGTTTATGACATTTTAATGACCGTTTGTGACATTTTAAACGAACACTGATAAAGAAGCTGTTTTATTTAAGTTGTAACTGCAGATTTGTCTTATTTAAATATTGTTTACAACTCCCAAGTTGCAACAACGCTCCTGTTTATTTGCCTTGAACAAAGCTCCTGCTGTAACTTGTGTGCCTCTGACTGAGATGGTCGTTGGAACACCTTAAGAGACCAAGTCGGACCTTATAATCAGACTCCTGGTGAAACATGAAGATGATTCTGATGTTTATTTGCCTAAAACGCTGACCTGTGACCTGTAAATGTTTGTAATTATTCAGAGCTGGTAGATATGACCCACGCGTGCCGCTGGGTGGATATGACTGTTTTAGTTGTACAGATGCTTCCTGCAGATGTATTTAAATCTCATTTAAACTGAAACACACCAACAGCTGTAAACTATTCCCAACTGTCACTCCCCATTTCACACGTGTAACCAATAAACGGATGTTTGCCTCTGGAGCTGCTGGCTTTATTTATTTATTCATTCATTTGTGTGTTGGATTCAAGCTGAACCTGGAGGATGAGGAGGAAGATGGATGCAGGAAAGATGATGTCTTTCTCCTGCTTTCAATAATTCAGGAGGACGCAGATCCGGCGCGGTCCTGATGGAGGAGCAGTAAGGAGCAGCCCGCTGCTAGTTTAAGCTCTAAAGAGCTTTTCAGCTCGAAGCGCAGCAGGACGAGTTGGAACTTTTCCCCCCAGCCCAGTGCTGCTTCTCTAGACCATCAGATCTACGCAGGCTGCTCGTTTGTTACAGAGGAGGCGGATGGGCGCGTGAGGGGCTTTTTACGCACGGTGCGTCTCCATCATGACGTCGCGAATTAGCTGGATTGTAGGAGAGAGGGGAGGAGGAGAGCGGAGGGAGTGAGCGGATTCCGTTCCGTCGTTAATGTGGATCTTTTTTATGTGTGGATTTTTCTCGTTTCTTGTGTTTTTTTGTTTCATTCCACGCGCTGCTTCAACACACAGAACCGACCGGACGCTGGATTAGAGGGTTTGTTTACGTGGACCGGATTGCAGATTACAGCCATATTCTACAAGCCATAGAACCCGCTGCAGAGATGCATTTTCTCTGGGAGTAATCCGACAGCCCGGGCTCTCCCCATCCCGCCTGGACGCGTCGAACCGACAGTAAGTACCCGCTCCGGTTCGTGTCCGTTCTGCTGCGGTGCAGCCGGTGGTGATGTGGACAGATGTCACTCTGCATATTGGATGTGCTCAGCAGGCCCGGATCCAGACCTCCAGTACCCGATCCGGTTTATGCTTCAGAACCCACACGCGTAGTGGCTCGGTTCGGTGTGTTCGGCCTTTCCTTTTGCAGGCCGGTCAGCGGCAGACGGTGGCAGCCTCGCCGTGACCCTCGCGGCTCTGCAGCTCGCGCTCCGCCGCGCACGGATTGCAGCTTTTGGGTCGAGTTGTTTGAGTCCCGCGCGGATAAGCGGAGAACATCCGGTACGTGGTTCTGAACGGTACCGGTACCGTATACGTGGCTGTGGAGGGGTGTTAGGTGACAGGCCCGAGCTGAGCGCGTCTCCATCTGTCCACATGCTGTCCTCATCCTCTTAGCCCATGTAGGTTCACCCCCATCCCCAACACACACACACACACACACACACACACACACACACACACACACACACACACACACACACACACACACACACACACACACACACACACACACACACACACACACACGGCCTATAAAGTTAGTTGATATATCAGCATCACTATAATTTTGTTGCCCTGTTTGTCCGTTTTTACGCCCCGTAGTTATGAAACCCTGCATTTATACCAAACCTGTGACTTCAGGTGAATGACAGCTGAGGAAGCCTTGCCCCCTCTGGGGCTCTAAAGCTCAATTACTTCCCAGTAAAGGCACCACCCAGAGTGTAAAGTTGTCACCGGGCGCTGTAGGGTGTTCTGATTTCATTGGTTTTACACAGAATGTTTACCTGCCAGCTGATGATGTCACACTCTCATACAGGTAAATGCTGATATGTGAGTCTCCTTCCACCTGCTGTCTCTCAGTGCTGTAGGACTGATGGTGTCCTCTCAGGTTCCCTCAGAGTCAGAGTTAGGGTTGGTCAACGGTCTTTGTCATTAATTCAGCTGTCAGGTCAGATGCAGGAGTGTGATTGTCATGGAGACCATAATGAGCATCTGGATGCAGTTTAAACATTTCTGTTGATCCTTGTTGTTTTGACACGCCTGATTAAATCCACATATCTTCATTTTGTCTTAACTTGTATTATTATTCAGTTTGTTTTGGAGCTTTGAGGCTGCAAATGTATATATTTTTGTATCTACCTTCTACATGGACATTTTAACTTCCTGAATAGTTTTTAAGTTAATCAGAAATAAAATGGTTAAATTATGAGTCTGTTATTAATTATGATCAGTTGGGATAAACCAGAAGTGGTCCAAACTAAATCGGCGCGTCAGAGCGATCCAGTTGTCAGAAATCTGCATCAGCACCATGCTTTTCCATTTTCAATCACTTGTTTAGAGATAAGGGTCAAACGAGGAAAACACTTAAGAGTAAAAATCATCATCTATTCTTTTAATGTACATTTTTTCTTTTTTTCCACTTTGTAAACAAGCACCAACTCATTCTGTCAGATTGATCTAAAATATGATTAAACTTTTAATTAAAACTTAATCATAAATATGAAATGCTATACCTCTGTGAAAAGTTTTCTTCAGAACATCAATGTTTGGGAATTTTGTCTCCGAAGCAGGAAAAGCTGCTTTAGGGAGTCAGATTAATCAGAAGCTCACATTTGGATTATTAATTAGAAACATTACATTTTTGTTTTATAAATGTTTAAAAATTCCTTTTCATTAAAAAAAGTCCCTAATTTTTCTTAATCTAAAAAAAAACCATAATTATAATGTATGTATGTATGTATATATATATATATATATATATATATATATATATATATATATATATATATGTATATATGTGTGTGTGTGTGTGTATGTATATATATATTTTCTTTGTTGGTTCAACTAGTTTTTAGATTCATCTGACCTGCAGTAACCTCAGCCTGCTTGATTAGTTTATCTTATGAAATACTCATATTTAATAATTTCTTGAATTTTGAACCTGGCGTGACTTTTTAATAAACCAAGAACTTTATTTTAACATCTCATTCTTTCTTTAACTCATGATTTAACTTTCAGGAATTATTGTTGATGTTTTTTATTTTAACAATCTGCTGATTTGTCAGTCAAATTATAACTAGTAAAAAATTAGACAGAGCTTAAGAAGTTTTTTTTTTCTGTGGGTGTTTCTTTTTTCATAACTTTTTTACTTTTTACTTGATTTTAACAATTTTTTCAACAGCATAATTAAACAAAATGGAACAAGGGGAGGCGAGTGTTCCTCCAGAACTCACAGACTGCCAGCCTGCCTTTGCCATATGCTGGCGAGTGAGTCTTTCCACCTGGACAACAAAAGTCTTTTGACCAGCAAACAGCAATATTTACTTTTTAACTTTTATTAGAAGTTTTATCTAGGGATGCTCGATATGTTTTTTGACCGATATACCAATATTATCAACTCTTAATTTCCAATACCAGTATAAACCAATAAGGAAGGTCACCTTCTCAAAATAAATAAATAAAAATAAATAAATAAAGAATAAATAAAACATTAACATCCCATATCTTCTATCAAGCATGCTTACATAAAAAAAATCTGAACAAAATGATAACTACTTTAATTTAAGTCAGTAGGAAAAGTATCATGATTATTTTGTCTCCAGCAGCATCTGAATCTCATTCTCCCTAAGCGTGATGCTAGTGTGTTACAGTTAGTAGTGTAAATTTTCTTTTTCCTGTAATTTGCAGCAATGGTGAAACATTTATAAAGATCTTCAGAAAAGCTTTGAGTGAAGATTCTTGTTTTGTTTTAGTCGTCAGTGACCGCAGGGGGAATTTCTACTTCACAAGTTGTGGCAAATAGGCTAAAATTTCTCAAAAACATGATCTCAAATCTGTCATATGTTAACATTTTGAGAGAGAGATGAGAAGTAGCTGAAGAGTTTGATGTATAATATGTGTATGGTATGTAAAATCTGTGTCATTACGAGACTGAAAATCGATACCGATATCGATATTGCTATCTGACAATATTAGTGGTAGATCGATAAAATCGAACATCCCTAGCTTTATCCCGTGTTTGCTTTTGTCGTTTCACCCTAAAAGCTTTTCCAGACATTTTTCTTCTTCGAACTGAAGAAAAAGTCATTTTTCTGTGAAATGCTATTGAAAGGAGGCACAAAGTACAAGCCTTGTACATAAGGCCTTTAAAAGGGGACTAAACTGACTATTATTGAGTTCAAGAGACACAAAGGCGGAGAGGAGAATGGGTTCAATCTGAAAATGGAGCTCCAGCTCAAAAGTTGATGTAGTGAAAAAGGAAAACGGTGAGTTCAGCAGCAACACAGCAGGGAGATGCCTTCCTCTTTCATTTTCCAGCCACACTTCCATGCTTTAACCCCCCCCCCCCCATCTTTTCCATGTTTTTCAGATTCAGAAATGGCCTGGTTCTTGTTCCTGATTGTCCTCAGCGCTCTCCCTGGGCTTGTCGTTCCAATCCATAATTCATCGTCTGGAGGTAATCTGTGTGCAGGAATCTTTCCGTTTACAATCAGCTTTAAAGGATTCCCGAATGAAGCCCATTTCAGCTGAAATGTGTTGTCCTGTTTAACTCTCACTCTCCATCATCCAGGCTGCGCCATCATCCGGCCTCCGAGGGACGGCGGGATCCGCTACAGAGGCCTCACCCAGGAGCAGGTACTGGATTATAATCCTGAATTTATCCTTAAGTAACGTCACACCACAGAACCGGTTAACATCAGCCTGTCAGGAATAAAGTTGTTATTCCGAGACTAAAATTAAAATAAAAACTAAACACAACCAGTTAAAAATTTCCCAGAATCCTTAGCGGATCAGGCAGCAACAGCAGGAGTTGTACCACAGAACAATAAAAAAAATGTACCTTTTATAAACTTCAAAAATCTTATTGTGAAGGAGAGATGGAAAGTGGGGGTTCTGCAGAAATAAAGGCCTAGATTGGTTATCAGCTAGATAATAAAAGCACAGCTGGGTTGTGGTAAAAGTAACATTTGTTAGTTTTTTCTCCACATTTTGACTTTATTTTTGACCTCCTGACGGCACTATTACGCTGATTTAGGAACAGGTTACCTGGATTTTAGTGGTAAAATCAGACAGCAGCTTGTGTGACTTTTATGAGTTCCTAAGAGGTTAATTTTAATCTTCTGAACAACAAATGATGAAAACAAGATGATGTTACTGTGTGTAAAGCTGCTGAAACCCTCAGCTAACCTGTAACCAACCATTAGTGTGCAACGCTCCAGGTGTTTGGCTGCAGCTAGTACAAGGACACAGCAAATCTGACAATGGTAAAACTCAGAGTTTGACACTTGAATTTAATCTGTAGTTTTCTAGCCCTGATTCAGATTCTGACTCCAGAGGGTCAGAAACAGGAAGAACCAGCATCCATCACATGTCGAACTCTGCTTCCTTCACAGATCCGCAGCGTTCAGATCCTGCCTGTGGATTACGAGATAGAATACATCTGCAGAGGAAACCGGGTGATCGTGGGCCCAAAGGTCAGGAAGTGTTTACCCAGCGGCACATGGACGGACATGACACAGCAGAGCAGATGCCGTGAGTCCTTTCTTCTGATTCTCATCTTACTTTCATCCCGACACCAACCTAATTCTCCAGTGTTCTCCTGATGCGGTCGACGTTGGTCGGAATAAACCAGCAGCAGGACAGGAACCCTCACTCGCCCTTGTGTCTGACCTATCTCACCTGTAGCTAATTTTCTGAACAGCCTCTGTTCAATGAAAATGAGCCAATGTACTTCAGGATTGATGAGCTAACAGCTAGTGTGAGCAAAGACCAAGGAGTGCTCTAAATTGGCTCTAATCTTCTAAATTTCACAGCTGTTCATGTGGTGTTGTTTATAAAACTTGACATAAGTTTTCACCTTAAACTGGAACATGCAATCCTGTGTCCTCTAGTCCTCTAGGCTGAAGCATATTAGTTCAAGTGACAGTGTGTGTTTTTCCTGGTGATGGGGGCAGTAGATACCTAAATCGTTGCAAGCAAGCAGTATTTTTGTGTTGGAGAAAGACCTTGCCAATGGATGCCCATTAGGTTCAAAAAGCCCAGAGGAGTGCAAACTTTAGCAAAATAACAAGCACATCAGACTCCCTTTCATCACTGGCAACAAGTAAAGAGGTAAATGTGTAAAACAGCAACATTTAAGAATGGCGTAAATTTTGTAACAGTTTGTTACAAATCAGTAAATGCATTTTGTCCTCATGGGCTCCCGTAGAAGGAAACATGGCATCTAATATGGCGTCGCCCAGTGACTTAGTATGTATTTTTGACCCGATTTTTATGGTTATATGTTACGAAGCTGCCAATATTTTTCAACAACTGGGCGTCATTTCATTCATTTTTAACAACATTTTGATGGATAGTTCCAGAAATTAATGGTAAAAACTACACACTGTCTCTTTAAATTGTAGCTCTTTCCTCTGGTCCAGTTTCTTTTCACAGGAAAAAAAAAACTGCACAATAAACACAAACTAGGTGAGAAGGTTCAGTCTGCTGGTTGGTCAGATCATCAGGGGCGGGGCTCGGTGAGGCTGAAACTTGTGTAACATAAGTACCAGTGATTAGCATGCTAATGTCACTTGGAACAGAAGTGAATTATTTAATGATTTATCATTCTTTGTGAAATTGATATTAAAGCTGGTCGAAGTGGACCAAAAAATCTCTCTCTCTCTCTCTCTCTCTCTCTCTCTCTCTCTCTCTCTCTCTCTCTCTCTCTCTCTCTCTCTCTCTCTCTCTCTCTCTCTCTCTCTCTCTCTCTCTCTCTCTCTCTCTCTTACTTACTTTACATATATCTATATCTATATATGTATATATCTATATCTATCTATCTATCTATCTATCTATCTATCTATCTATCTATCTATCTATCTATCTATCTATCTATCTATCTATCATCTATCTATCTATCTATCTATCTATCTATCTATCTATCTATCTATCTATCTATCTATCTATCTATCTATCTATCTATCTATCTATCTATCTATCTATCTATCTATCTATCTATCTATCTATCTATATCTATCTATCTATCTATCTATCTATCTATCTATCTATCTATCTATCTATCTATCTATCTATCTATCTATCTATCTATCTATCTATCTATCTATCTATCTATCTATCTATCTCTCTCTCTCTCTCTCTCTCTCTCTCTCTCTCTCTCTCTCTCTCTCTATATATATATATATATATATATATATATATATATTTAGTAAATTTAGCAAATATAGTAAATTTTTTTGCCCAGGAAAAAAACACTTCCTCATATCCTAATTAAATTAGAGTAATACTTAATTAATTAATTAAATAGATTTTAGTGTTTCATTCATTAAGAAGGCAGACATTGTTGGAACAGCACCTTCACTCATAACGGGAATGGGTAAAGATGTGTCTGAGGTATTTTGGCAGCTTCAGGCTCCTGTACCTGCTACCTAGTTATATGGGGGGTTCAACCCATTCCTAAAAAAATACCCCAGGAGAAACAAAACCAGTCAGTCATGATGAAAAGGTTCTCTGAAACACCAACATCCCCCCAGAAATGAAAAAAATGAGATACAGAGTTTAGGCCAGAACATGAACCAGACTTTTATGAATCTAGATCAACGTTTCTGTAAAATTCAAATGGTTAACCGGAGAAGTAAGAACATGTATAATGACCACTTGGGGACGGAGAAGCAGCAAGCTAGCGGTAGCCATACCTGCTAATGTGATTTATATATTTATATGGATATAAACTTTACTGGGTCATCTAGTGACTTGTTTGACATCAATATTTTTTTAAATCTCAAGGTTTTGTCCACTCCTAATTGATTAATACGTTGTTGTTATTGTTGTTGTTGTTGTTGTTGTTATTATTCTTGTTGTTAGCCTCAAGGGCAACTTGCCAATTATAACTTGTAAGTCGCTTTGGACGAAAGCGTCTGCTAAATACATAAACATAATATCAGCGAACAATAAAATTGTAATATTTGGTGTTTTTTAATAGAAAATGTGTGGAAATCAACCCACCATGTTATAAACTGCTGATGTAGCAGCTGATCAGGCACCTGGGCTGGTTTGTGCAGAATCACCGGCTGCGTTCCATTTCCCGCACGTTGCTTTTACTCTTAATGGGTTTCTGAGGGACGGTTCATGTTTTCTCCTTAACCGTCCCTTCAGACCTGCAGGATTGAATAGTTTTATGTGGTTCTGGATGCTGTGGCTCTGGTATTTTACCATCAGCTTAACTGGGAGGTGTGGACTGTGTGTTCACCTGGAGAAAATCTCCTGCAGCCTTTAGTTTTTTTCACCTCGTGTCCTGAGGGAGTTTTCTGGCGCTTGTGCTGCTACGCTTCAATTAGCATTTGCAGACTTCCCTCCCAAAATAGCTGATGACAACCAGACCCAGAACGTGATCCACGAGTCAGCTGCAGGATCACCAGAACCTCCTGCTTCTGCTGCATGACTCAAACAACAGAAATCTATTTTAATTTCTAATTTGAATAAATCAGAGGTGGAAAATAAATCCCCTTTCTGTTTGATAGCAGATGTTTGTGTGAATCTCTGGTTGAGTCCAGCCAGTCCCGGTACTGAGCTTTTGTTCTGGCTTAGACTCAGAAACAAGACATCCTAAAAAAAACGATATTAACCGTAACCTCAGCTCCAGAGACAGAATTTTGGTCCTGTTTCCTCAGATGCTTTAGTTCTAGTTTAACTTCCAGAAAAAATTGGTAAATATTTTCGTTTTAGAATTTTTTTTCATTTAGTAAAACAAGAGTTACAATAAAAGGTAAATGATTAATATTAATATAAAATATAGTAAGATAAACATTTTTCTGTTCGTATTCAAACATTTCCATTTCATTTAGAACTTTTTCTATTTAATAGATTTTATTTTCCAGGTAAATTCAGGTTTATTTCAAGAAAACTATAGATTATAAACCTACAAACCTGAATGTGGAAACCGGGATGAGGACCATGAGCCGAGCTCTAGACCAGAATTATTTCCTCATTTTTGATGACTTTGTGTCCCAGAGAGTCCGATTTTCCGACTCTTCCTGTTATTCCAGCTCTCAGTGGGACTTTCTGGCTTATGTAACAGCCAACTGAGCTCGATGCTGCGAGGAAGATTCAGCAACTCTGCAGCTAATCAGAATTATCTCAGGAGCTCAGCCGGATTCTGTCAGGAAACCGAAGCAGAGAAGCCGAGCTAGGGATGATTTGTGTCTTTATTCCTGCTAACTTAATCCTCTCCTCCTTCCTGTTTTTTGTCTTTGAGTCACATGAAAACCATCAACCGTGAAAGTCAACAGGAGCAGCTGATGGGATGGAAAAGTTCCTGTCTGGATTCTTCTTTTACTTTCTCTGAGAAACTAACTCCGTTTCAACAGTTTTTAAGGTTTTCAGGATTAATGAACAAATTAACTAAATCAAAACTTAAATTCAATGAAGAAAAACAACAATAAGGGTTGAAATTTCATCCAAATCTAAATGAATGAAGAATAGTTTGTATTTTTCTGCATTAATGTTATTTTAGTTGATTTGCTGCTTTATGATTTAGTGGTGGTTCTGTTGGAGCGGCATGGATGGTCTGTCAGAAATATTATTGGAAGTGCATGAGTGAGAACCTGTGGTTCTGCTGGTTCCCAGTGCTCCTGTGTCCGCGGGTCTGGACGTCTCTGGAGAACGGCCGCGTGACAGCGAGGCCTGCGGGGCCACCGGTGGAGGGGACGGTTCTGCACTACAGCTGCAACGCCGGCTTCATCCTGGAGGGGAGGAACAGTAGCCATTGCACCAAGCTGGGGAAGTGGGACGCTCCCAAACCCACCTGCCTCTGTAAGTCCCTCGGCCATCCTGCCTCCAGCCTGTGGCTCTGGGGCAACACAGGGTCACATACGGCTCGTCCTTCCCTCTGAACCGGGTCCTATTTAGATTTAAATGAACAAAAAGATATGGTCAGTTTAGAAAGTTTCCCCTAAGCCAAATGACATCAGCAGGTAAGAATGAACTCACCTCACAGTTTAAAGGTGTGGTTTACTCGTTCAACACATTTACAGTGTTGTCCACTGTAAACCAGTGACTTATGAGTCATTAATAAAGGCTATGATGCTCCTGTTCTGAGAAACAGAGGTTTGCTGGTGCAGAGGAGGGCTGAAAACAGCAGGATTGCTCATTATTATTAATTATATGCACACACCTCACTTCTGATTGGCTGACAGAACGTGTTCAGCCTTGTTGCAAAGGTACTATCACCAAGACATCCTCTGCTCTCCAAATCCAAGCTTTTTGCTGTTTATTCTCTTTTAGAAGCTAACACAGGAGATAGGTGTAGGGGACTGTTTTCATCTTCGGTCTGTATGAAAAACTCAAGAGTATTGATTATAATCGGTAATAATCATTAAAAAACGTTTTTCAGTCAACCACACCTTTAACATTTTTATCCCTTTTCTCACCTGAAAACAAACATTTTTTAACATATTTGAACCAGACTGCTGTAAACATTGATCAGAATTCTCTAAACATAAAAACACGACACAATGAAGAAACTATTTAAAAAACAAAAAGAAAAGACAAAAATGTAAAAATCAGTTACTTTACTGCTGTTTATTTATTTACTAAAGTTTTAAACAAACAACAAATGAAACAATTGTATGTTTGTTTATTCAGATAGGAAGTGCTAACTTACTTTCTAATTTAGGATGCAAGTTAACGCTAAACATTTATTTAATAATTCTTAAATATTTTATTTTAAAATTGTTACTTTCTAAAACGTATCCTTCTATTTATTCGTATTATTTCTATCTAAAGTTAGTTAATTTTCTGCTAATTCTTGGAAATCAGTCAAAGTTCTGAACCAAAACAAATGTTACTTTAGATTATTTTTAAATCTTTGCTCAGTAAATAATAAAAAGAAACTTCACATCAGAAAATAATAAAGATTATTTTTTGACTCTAAACAAAATGTAATTACAAGGTAAATGCTGCTGGTCTGACTTTGATCTAAACAAATAAAATCTCACCTACTGTAGAAAACTCCTTAAACAGCCTCAGTTTGGAGAAACAGAGCAGAATTCTATTTGGACTGATAAGCTAACAGCTAGTCTGGGTGTGCTTGACTCTGAGCCTTTAAATCGTGTCAGACCTAATCTCTGTTTCTCTAAACAGATGTGTTGCCACATAAGTCCTCTACAACCTGAGCAAACAGTCAGAAAGTTTATTCATTGTGTTATAAGAAACATATTGGTTCTCTAAACCTGGTTACAAAAACAATTTCAACTTAAATAAAATCCTTTTTTTCTTTTAAGCCAAAGTTATGTGGGCCAAAATATATAAACAACTTTAGGCCCGATCTTAGATTTAGGCTTAGGTCAGCTATCAGACTTTAGCTGTAAAGCTGAGCTGGAAATATGTTTATGTTTATATTTATGTGTTTAACAGACGCTTTTGTCCAAAGCGACTTACAAGTGATAATCGGCATGTTGCCCTTGAGGCTAACAACAACAATAACAACAGCTTGACATCAATCATGGAGAGGAGGGAAATACAAACAACTGAGCTAAAAGTATGAAAAATGACTCAGAGAAGATGTTTAAATGATCATTCACATAAATAAAAGAAAAAAAGGAGAGATGCACGAAACCAATCAGCTGGTGATCAGAATCTGTTCATATTCAGCATGATTGAGTCGGTATCAGCTGATCTGGAAATCATAACCTTGACTTCATGAATGCTCCACTGCCAGCAGCATTGTTTTAGCTGGTCAGTGAACCTACCATTGCTAAATTCTAATTCAGACTAGCTAACAGAAGTTTTGTTTTTATTCAGAATCTTTTGTTCCGTGTGTAGAAAACTTTCTGATCATTTTTGCTAATATAAATAAATATAGACAGAGATCGGAAGTTAGCCTGGCAAGCCAGACTAAATAAATGTATTATTTATTCTGGCTGCGCTCCATTGACGGCTCTCGGTTGTGGGGCGGGTTCTACCGTTGTCTTTCAAATGATCTCCCCATTCCACTGGACAATGAATGTGACATACTCTTGTTTCACTCTGTTGCATCATCCCACCCACCAGGCATATAGAGTACCCTGATTGGCCCACAAAGCAGATAAGCTCTGTGATTTGTTCACTAAGCAGATAGAGCCCTATGATTGGCCCACCATTATGGACAAATCACAGCTCTTTATGTGTTTGAAACCCCTCTAGAGAGCTGTGATTTGCTAGCCAGAGTCCTGGTAGGAGCTGTGGAGGTTCCAATGGAGCATGCCTAGACCATTCTTTGCAAAGCAAGAATTTGGTCTAGTTCACTAGGCTAATTGGAAGTCGGTATCAGCCCTCAAAAACAGGGGGGAGACGGGGACGGACAACTACTAGAAATAAAAACTGATTAAATAAAATGAAAAGCTTCATAAAATTGATATTTTGCTTTTAAAACAAATAAAACTTTTAAAGGACTTTTTAAACTTTATAAACAATAATTTATAATAAATAATTAAGCCAATTTAGCATGGTGGCGCAGTGGTTAGCATGGTTACCTCGCAGCACAAAGGTTGCAGGTTCGAAACTTGGCTGCGGCCTTTCTGCGTGGAGTTGCGTGTTCTCCCCATGCATGCGTGGGTTTCCTCCGGGTACTCCGGTTTCCCCCACAGATCACAACATGCCCTATAGGTTATAAATTGTAAGTCGCTTTAGATAATAGCATCTGCCAAATAAATAAACATAAACATGTCGTTCCCTGATCTCTTGTTTACCTGGGTTGCTCCCTGAAGGTGACAGGTGATCACAAACACCTGCCCCTGCACTGTTGGTAGGTGACCAATGATGCAGCCAATCAGAGGGAGTTTCTTGTGTGTTTGTCAGGTAGAAGAGTGTGAATGTGAATGAATTCAGCAGCAGTGTGTGTGTGTGTGTGTGTGTGTGTGTGTGTGTGTGTGTGTGTGTGAGTGTGTGTGTGTGTGTGTGTGTGTGTGTGTGTGTGTGTGTGTGTGAGTGTGTGTGTGTGTGTGTGTGTGAGAGAGAGAGAGAGAGAGAGAGAGAGAGAGAGAGAGAGAGAGAGAGAGAGAGAGAGAGAGAGAGAGAGAGAGAGAGAGAGAGAGACTGCAGCAGATGGCCTGTCCTCCGTCTGGAACAATTTGTGCAAATAAACGAGGATTGATGTGGAAAAAAGATGAAACAAAGACATGAAGGAAGTGTTGGCATGGTAACGGGTGAAGTTTCCATGGGAACAATTGTATTAAACGACGAAAGAGAATTATTAGGACAGTTGGACATGTGAAATTGGGCTAATTACTTTCTCTGCTGTTTTTTCTTCTATCCCAGAATTAAAACCTGAAGTTTATTAATTATGTTTCGGTTCTATTGTTCATCTTTAATGAAGGATGTGAATGGATTTCTGAATATTTTTGGAGAAGAGCAGCAGTTATATAAGAGGCCTCCTGCCAGACAACTGTTTCTTCTGCTTCTGACAGGAGCAGCTGTGGTGCGTTGCTGCCTCCTGCTGGAGAAAAACTCGGAACAATAACAGATTCAGCATTTTTATATGAATCATGATGAATGAAGATTTACAAAAAAAAAAAAGAAAAAGAAAAAAAAACAATAACAATAAAATGAGTGCACAAGTGAGGCTCCCAAAAGAAAATGTTTAAATCTGAGACTGAGTCAAACATTAAACTCTATTTCATTAGAGGCTATTAAAGTCAAACAGTTAAATGTGATTATTATATAAAAATGACACAGAAATTTAATGCAAATTAAGATTTTATTGATTTTATTGTGAAGTTAAATTTATTCTTTCCTGCCTATGAACACATTAAACATGTGATATTTCATCAGCTTTAATTGTGGAAAATTACATCTGTTTCCTGTAAATAACACATTCAAGCAGGAAGTTCTAAAATAAACCTACAGTTTAATCAGGCAACTCAGCTATAAAACTTTAGTCTAGATAATGTATCAATTTTTAAAATAAATTGTGTTATTGCTTTTCTAGCCCAAAAACTGATTTTGTCTCTCTTTTTTTCTTCCATTTTCCTCCCCAGATGACAGAAACTACACAGGTAAGAACTTTCTATCTATCTATCTATCTATCTATCTATCTATCTATCTATCTATCTATCTATCTATCTATCTATCTATCTATCTATCTATCTATCTATCTATCTATCTATCTATCTATCTATCTATCTATCTATCTATCTATCTATCTATCTATCTATCTATCCATCCATCCATCCATCCATCCATCCATCCATCCATCCATCCATCCATCCATCCATCCATCCATCCATCCATCCATCCATCCATCCATCCATCCATCCATCCATCCATCCATCCATCCATCCATCCATCCATCCATCCATCCATCCATCTATCTATCTATCTATCTATCTATCTATCTATCTATCTATCTATCTATCTATCTATCTATCTATCTATCTATCTATCTATCTATCTATCTATCTATCTATCTATCTATCTATCTATCTATCTATCTACTGTATTTAACTTATAACTAATTTATTTAACTAAACAAAGACAAATGCAGAATGTTTTATTAATTATTTTGATGCTATAAGAGTTATAATATAATGTAAAACGGTAATACTGCAATAAAATAAAAACTTACCAGTTAAATAGTGAATTTTTATGATTTTAATTTACTTTATTTGGTGAAGTGATTTGTGAGACAAAAATAAACTTCCTGTGTGGTTTCAGATGTTTGTCCCAAAGAGCACCAGACGATGAGTGAAGCTCGACTTTTTAAAGCTTTTAGAACCTCCACATTTATGAAAATATCTTCAACCATCAAACCAGACTAGAGCAGAAAGTCCAGATCAGTAAAAATTATTTTAAATCGAGTTGGAAGTAAAAATCAAAATAAAACCAACAGCTTCAGGTATTTCTGGTTAGCAACAGTCAACAGAGACAAAAGTGTGGAACCAAGAAGGAGACATAGTATATCAAATTAATGTGTTCATCGCTGTGGTTTGTCCATGATGTCCTCCTCCGTCTAGCTGCCTGAAACATAGAAACTTTAATAAAATGTTTGAAAATGTTTTTTAATTTGATCATGTCAGAGTCTAAATGTCATCAGTAGAGCAGGAAGTCAAAATGTTGTCAGAAATTTATCACAAATATCCAGGATGCTCAAATTTAGATAGAACTCCTCGTTTGGTCAAAGGCATGCTGCAATCTGCTTTTCACCACCAGATGACAGGAGTGCTCTTTAACAACTGTGTTGTGTTCTTGGGAGCAGCAGAGCTCTGATTAAAGATGTGTGTAAATCCTTTCACTGGCTGCAGGAGAGGAAAACTTATTCTAATGAAACTGTTTTCAACCGAGAGGAACCAGATTCCTCCTGAAGCTCTGACAGAAAAGGGCCTGGATGGTGGAAAACGCCTCTAATTCCCAACCAGCCCATTACATCAGGGACTTTAGTGTTCTACAAAACACTTCACAAATCCTCCCAGTATCGCTCAGAAGATTAAAAGTAATTTGTTCATTAGTGGAGGAGAATTTCTGATCCAAATAAATGAATTCCTGCATACTTTAATTAGAATTGTAACATTTTAATGGGAACAGAAAGAACTCCTTTTAGACTGGTGTTAATCTTCGTAGCTGATCCAATTTAGACTTTGGGTTTGTTTAACTTCAGACCGGGACCCGCATTAACCTCAGCATGCAGAAGTGAGTCTTCTCAATAAGAGTCACTCTGTCACACCCCGTCTTGTCTCCCCATTCTGTTTAGTCATGTGTCTCTGTTAATTGCTCCCACCTGCCTCTCGTTTTCCAATCACCCAAGCTCCCAGCCCTCATGTATTTAAACCCCTTCAGTCCTGTGTTTCTTGTTGGTTCATTGTTTGTATGTCCTGCGTGCTTGATATTAAAACTATTGTAAAACCAACCCTACCTGTCTGCCTGCCTTCCTCACCCGCGTGTGGATCCTCACCTCATCTCTGCTTCGCTCACCGGCACGTTGTGACAGAATGAACCAACCCTGTGAAGGATCCGGCGGGGAGGTTCTTCCTTGGTAGTGTTTGCTCCAGTTTTTAACCGCAGATCACCGGCCGGCTTCTCCTCCTCTGGCCTCGTCTCGCCGCAGACGCCGTCGCCGAACCCCGGCTGCAACGATCCCCTCCGCCCTCCCGGAGCTAGATGTGAGGTTGGACCAGGAGACGCAGCTAGACCGCTCCTGCTACGTGGGCACCAGACTGGCTGTGTGCTTCCCCGGAGCTGGCCCATGGCGTTGGGAAGGATGCCGAGCTCCACCGTCGCCCCTGGTCCCGGGACGGAGCCGCGAGCTCTCCTCAGCTCCGGCTCGGCGCGCCAGCTTGGACCGTCCCCCAGTCAGACCAGCAGTCCCGTCTCTGGTCCAATCAGTGCCTCCGTCATCTGCAGGTGGAGGGACCACGCCTTCAGCCCAGCTGACAGAGCTTGCCGGCCTCCAGGTAGAGCTTGGCCGGATCCGTCAGCTCGTCAGCCTCCAGGAGAGCTCGCCGGTCTCCGAGCTGAGCTGGCCCAACTCCATCAGAGCCTCAGTCTCCAGGAGCTCCAGCTGGACAATCTATCCTCCCTGCGTTCCCAGTTTCCGGCACCACCAGTTCAGTCAGCTCCTGTCCCAGCGGTGGTCCCGGAGGTCACACCGCATCCTGTTCCAGCGGTGGTCCCGGTGGATGCATCACAGCCAGTTCCCGTGGTGGTCCCGGAGGTCGCACCGTATCCTGTTCCAGCGGTTGTCCCGGAGGTCGCGCTGCATCCGATCCAGCTTGTCCAAGCGGTCCCATCTGCAGCAACTCCTCCTCCACTCCAGAAGCCGGCGGTCCAGAAGTCGACGCCCCCGGACCAGAAGTCGACGGTTCAGAAGTTGACGGACCAGAAGTCGACGCCTCCGGACCAGAAGTCGACGCCTCCGGACCAGAAGTCGACACCTCCGGACCAGAAGTCGACGCCCCCGGACTTGAAATCAACACCCCCGGACCAGAAGTCGACGCTTCCAGACCAGAAGTTGATGGAGGTCAATGATTTTTCCAGTCCAGAGGTCGACGCTCTCTCCAGTCCAGAGGTCGACGCTCTCTCCAGTGCAGAGGTCGACGCTCTCTCCAGTCCAGAGGTGGACGCTCTCTCCAGTCCAGAGGTGGACGCTCTCTCCAGTCCAGAGGTGGACGCTCTCTCCAGTCCAGAGGTGGACGCTCTCTCCAGTCCAGAGGTGGACGCTCTCTCCAGTCCAGAGGTGGACGCTCTCTCCAGTCCAGAGGTGGACGCTCTCTCCAGTCCAGAGGTGGACGCTCTTTCGTGTCCAGAGGTGGACGCTCTTTCGTGTCCAGAGGTGGACGCTCTCTCGTGTCCAGAGGTGGACGCTCCCTCGTGTCCAGAGGTGGACGCTCTTTCGTGTCCAGAGGTTGACGCTCTTTCGTGTCCAGAGTTTGACGTCCCCTCCAGCCCAGAGGCCGACGCCGCCTCCAGCCCAGAGGCTGCCAACGCCTCTTCCAGCCCAGAGGCCGCCGCCGCCTCCAGTCCAGAGGTCGACGCCGCCGCCTCCAGTTCAGAAGTCAAGGATGTCTCCTCCGGCGCCTCTGCCTCCGGTCACCACCAATCCTGCCCTCATCAGGCACGGGCCTCCAAGAGCCCGTCGGCATCTCCTCCTCTGCCACAGACGTAGGCCCCCAAGAGCCCGTCGTCATCTCCTCCTCTGCCCTAGACGTAGGCCCCAAGAGCCCGTCGTCATCTCCTCCTCTGCCCTAGACGCAGGCCCCCAAGAGCCCGTCGTCATCTCCTCCTCTGACCCAGACGCAGGTCCCCGGACTTTAATGGTTCCTGCCTCCTCTCCACCGGTCCCTCAGTATCTCTTGACCCTCCCTCCTGGTCCCCCTCCTCCCGCCCTGCTCTGTGTTCCTGTGGGCGTCAGGGATCCGCCCTTTGAGGGGGGGAGGGGGGGGGTCTGTCAGCCCCAACCTCAGCATGCAGAAGTGAGTCTTCTCAATAAGAGTCACTCTATCACACCCTGCCTTGTCTCCCCATTCTGTTTAGTCATGTGTCTCTGTTAAATGCTCCCACCTGCCTCTCGTTTTCCAATCACCCAAGCTCCCAGCCCTCATGTATTTAAACCCCTTCAGTCCTGTGTCTCTTGTTGGTTCATTGTTTCCATGTCCTGCGTGCTTGATATTAAAACTATTGTAAAACCGTTCCTACCTGTCTGCCTGCCTTCCTCACCTGCGTGAGGATCCTCACCTCATCTCCGCTTCGCTCACCGGCACGTGTGTGACACACTCCTTAAAACAATATGACTCACCGATCAGTATTAGTTACTGATCAATCCGAGTCATTGCTAAATCGAGTCACTGAATGATACTAGTCACTGATCAATAGGAGGCACTGCTTAATACAAGTCAATGATCAAAACTAGTCACAAATCAATACGAGTCACTACCCCATGTGAATTACAGCTCAACATGAGTCACTGATCAATGAGAGTCACTGCTAAATACGAGTCATGAATCAACATGAGTCACTGCTAAATATTAGTCACTGATCAATACGTGTCACTGATCAATTAAAATCACTGCTAAAACTGAGTCACTGATCAGTACTAGTCATGGGTCAATATAAGTCACAGCTAAACATGAGTCACTGATCAATGAGTCACAAATCAAGTCACTGCTAAATATGATTCACTGATCAATATGAGTCACTCATCAATAAAAGTCAGTGCTAAAAACGAGTCACTGATTAATACTAGTCATTGATCAATAGGAATCACTGCTAAATAAGTCATTGATCAATATGATGCACTGCGAAATACGAGTCATGGATCAATACTAATCACTGATCAATATGAGTTACTGATCAATAGGAGTCATTGCTAAATAAGAGTCATTGATCAATATGATGCACTGCTAAATACGAGTCATGGATCAATACTAATCACTGATCAATATGAGTTACTGATCAATAGGAGTCACTGCTAAAAACGAGTATTTGTTCAATAGGAGTCACTGATCAATACTGATCAACAAGAGTCACTGCTGAATACGATTGGTGAATATGAGTCACTGATTAATACGAGTCACATTGTTTACGTGAAGCTGCTTTTAGAAGATGATTCACATTCACATCAGAATCTCCAGACCCACTTCTGCAGCAGCAGTAGCGCTAATTTTAAAATGTAGTTTTGGGTCATCAGTTTCTTCTGTAAACACACTGCAGATGTTGCAGATGTCAGACACACTCAATAAACACTCAAACCCCAAAGCAGATAAAATCTGTTTCCTCTAATAGACGCTCTTGTGTTCTGTCTGGGTTCTGACCCTCTTGTGGCTCGGTTCTGCTTCCATCACCGCCCACTTCCTGCCTCCTCAGCAGCAGAAATGTTACTTGCTCCTGATGGTCTGCTCCACCCCGTCCTCAGCAGGTCTGATTAAAGAAAAACAAAATGTTTCTGTTTTAGAACATAAGAACCAAGTTTATTAAACTGGAAAATCACAAGGAAACAGAATAACCCCAGATTCACAAGAAACCTTTAATTCTAATTGTGTTTAAAGCTACAATGGCTATTTTGGAAAACAAATTAGCTTAAAACATTATTTCATATCCCTAACAATGTTCTAACATATAGCTATGAATATAATGTGGAGATTAATGAAGGAAAAAAAAAAGAGGTTCTCTTGCATTTGTCTAAAAACCTCCGCCAATAACACGTTTTGGACCAAAAGCAACTACTGGACCATGCGGTAGTTTGTCGTGCCAAACCTCCACTTTTTCCTGTCTTCAATTCATACGCACTCACGTATTCAGCAACAGACCACCACTGGTGTGAGAGGTTCTCTGTTCAGTAATGTCAGAGAAGGAGAAACAGCCGGCTGCTACCACTTCAACTTTAGGACAAACTACCAGAGTCCCAAAAAGAAAAACAACAGTTGAAGTCACAGACAACAAAAGACATTTAGCCCTAGAAAATCGCGACTGGTGTTTAGCACTATTTCGTTTCCTAAGGCAAGTTGGGGTTCTGGTTCCGGTGGACACGACTTCAGGGAAGATACCCCCATGGGAGGGGCTTGTTTGCAGATTTGCGCTAACAGCAGTAATTCAGAATTTAATTTGAGAAAACTGGGTTTAAATTTGAAAAATTCAAAGTTTGTTTTCTTTGGTAATTAATTTTACTAAAATAAGCATTTCTTATTGTCAATGCTAAACAAATAATTAATCAGAAACAGTGATCCTGCTAATCTGAAAGAATTCTAACCGTCTCAGATGGTCTTTGTAGAACCAAAATTTTCAAAGTTGGGGTTACAGCCTCTTGTTAGGTCACCAGACACTGATCTAGGTATGGGGGTTACCTAGATATTAAAAACGTTTTGGATATTTGACCAGTCATAAACAGATCCATTATGAGCGTAACCTGTTTGCATTATTCACTTAAGCTTATTGTTATTGTTTAGTTTAGGGGAAAAAATAATCACTCTGAAATTAGAAGATGAAAGGTTTGAGAACATCTGCTCTAGAAAAACAGTTTTGTTTTTATTGTTTTAATCAGTAACATTTTTCAATCTTGTGAGTTTTGATTATTCTTTATCTTGTCAACAGCTGCACACTGGGAAAAGTGTGCAACTTAATTAGTTGACGGCCCCCTAGTGGCTGGCTGCAGCATACGTTTCAAGCTCCGCCCACTCCATGTACACTTAAGGTTTCCCTGACTAATGAATAAAAATGAATCTCTGATGATTACATCCTCATGATGGCTTCTGTTGGCTCCTACCTGGCTGCCTCGTGTACATTCAGCAGTGGTGAGTTGAAGAGCATCATCAGACCAGTGTGGGATTGGCAAAAAGCTGATTGTTTTTCTGCTCAGTTTGGATTGAATATTTCTGAGCAGGCAGAGCATGCAGCTCCAAAACACTTTGAGAAAAC